TCCTGTGCTTGTAACGGTTCGTCAAAATGAGTCTGGCTTTCACTGACCAAACAGGCACCGTACTTCCCCTTCATGTTAGTCGGGGTTACGGCAGGCGCAAATAAACAAACAAACAAACCCTTACCGAATTTTCTGTTCCGACACAACGACATGCACGTCTTGATTGGACGAGATTGCCCTTAACTTCCCGCATTCCATTTCCACAAGCCTTCTCATTATCCATATCATTGTTACGGCCGAGTTACGGTCCGATGCCACCAAATCAGTCAACTGACCTGCATCAACACCATTATTTCCACCACTCCACCCTCCCATCCCACTGCCTTCACTCATCATCGGAAATTACCCAGTGTCTTCTCCATCGCCGCATTCCCCTGCCCCATTACCACCCGATAGTCAAAGCTCTTCCGCAGCTCAAACCAACTGATACTCTTCAAGCACGGATACGCACTCAGATCATCGCTCGCCAACGCCTTCAGCCAGCTCTGCTTCAGCTCGGCAGTATCCGGCTTCGTCGCCGTCTCGGGAATCACAAAGTGCTTCCGATACTTCTTCGCATACGCCTCATAGAACCCGCCATAAATGTTCCGGAAGTTGGCCGTCGTCTTGCTCGCATAGATGTCCATACCAACTATGTCGACGTACTCTGGCCCGGGCCACCACTCCTCGTACAGATCCATGGTCTTGGCGTTGTTCGGACACCAGAACATCATACAACCCTCGATATCTTTGACGGCGGAGTGGACGGTGCGCCACGCTTTGACGAACTGAGTCGAGTTGCCGCGGTACGTACCCGGGCGAACGTACCAGTTCATCTCGTGCGCGAAGCGCAGCCAGACTTCAATGCCTTGGTCGGTGAATTGCCTGACAACCTTGGCAATGTCAGCGGCGATGGCGGGGGTGACTTCATTGAATGAAAGACCATTGGGCATGACGGAGGCAATGAGGGCGGCCCCGGTGCCTTTGATCTCGTCGAGGTGGCGTAGGAGTTGGTGCCCATCGAAGCCGTCGGGAGAGTTGATCTGCGAGAAGATGGAGACGGTGCTGGCGTTGGCGTGGTGGCCAGTTGCCCGATTGATCATGGAGATATTATCTCCACGCTCAATATCAGGATTCCAACCCCAGTAGACGCCGTTACGGCCGCGCAGGCCGGGGTGATATGGTGAGTCGTTTGGAGAACATGGTTCCTGCTTTGTGTCAGTTCCAGATACGTCTCTTTGTTCGCGAAAAGTGTAATAACTCACCCTGAACCATAGCAAAGGATTGATGGGAGTCTTTGCGAGTGTCTCTTGCCAAAGGACACTGAAAAGCAACAGGAGTGGCAGGTACATCTTGTCGTTTCGTTGAGTGTCACGCCCTCCGACGGACTAAGGAAGTGGACAATGTCTCGAGTTTTTAACTGTTTCAGCAGCTCATTGTCGTCGTCCTTCAACGGAGAAAAGAAGCAAACATGACATCCAAGAATGAAAGCGGTGGAGGCTTGGAGGTTCAAACAAAGAACAGCTGAAAACCCCATATCTCCACCAGATCGGTGAGCACCCGGATCTAGTAGAAATGAAGACGTGTCGATCCGCGCCTGATTCTGAATGTCGTCAGGCACTAGCAGGCCAGGATCGCCGACTAGCTCAAATCCCCGCCACTATCTTAAAGGATTGGTCAATTGGTTCCCACGAAATCCGCACTTATCACGCCAAGCCCGCAAGAGGCTGATTTGTCTCGGTGATGCGGTGTGATCTTCATGTCGGTTTAAACATTTAACCTTCTTTTCAACATGTTTGAAATGCCGCTCGAGTTACACGTTCGGCGGCCCTTGCATGGCGTTGAAGGCGATTTGACGAACTGATGCAAGTTAAAGTGCCGACATAATCGGGACCAGGAAGCGAGTTGTCTTATTGCCATGCATGTCTCACATTCGCATGGAATCGGCAGACCGGTTCGTTCCTTGGTGTTTGTGTTTGATTTGACGGCATGGGAGATTCGAGATCCAAATCTGGCTCGTGATTGTCTATTAGCTGAAGCGGCTGAACCGAGTCTGTTTGCTTGCCCCTGTCCAGGAACCGTTCGAACAAAGCCACAGCGTCATAGCTGGGTGTGGGTGTGATAGAACGTGGGATGTGCGATATGCACTCAATATGTGCACTACGGAAGTTTCAATCCGTTAACGGCTAGTCGCCATGTTCGAGAGTGGTTGCATGATGCAAGTATCGCTCTGTTGTGTTCGTGTCACGTACCGGATCAAAGTGTTTGTGTGGTGCCTCATCCAGGGTTTCCATTGGCTTGGGTCTATGTGCTTCTGAAAGCGCGGAACATCGGACAGCTGTTCTAGAAGAGTAAGTTTCCTACGATTCACCTTTGGCAGGGGCAATTTGATGAAGCTCTTAGGTGTTGTTGTCAACTGCAAGTTTGATATCTTCGGTGATTATAGAGGTCTCGGGGCATCTGTCTTGCTGATGCATCAGTATTTGTCGACACCCGACATACAGAGATTCGCTGAGGGTAAGCCTTTTCACTTATAACTCAGGCCCACGGCGTCCTTTTACGCACACAAAGAGCCTAGCAACGTACCATATTTTTTCCTCGATGTCACCATTCTGGCACACCTTCTTGAGCCGAGACTTTTCCGACCCTCATAACACAACCATCAAAGAAAATGAAATAAGTTCTCCAGATACCACAATGAGCTCCTACTCTAAACACGGTGCAGTCGGTGGTAGCTGCTGTTCAGTCGACTCCGGCTCCTCAGCATCAGGTTCTTCCGGCCCTTCGGGCACTTCCGGCTCCGGAAACGTCTCTTCGTCGGGAGGTAGCACCTCGGGGTCCTCCAGTACATCAACTGGTGGGTCGACGACTAGTCAGGGGTCCAAAGGTAGCACCTGGGGCAGCAGTGGAAGAACTGGTAACTCGAGCAGAGGCTTTACTAGCAAGTAGGGGATGATCTCTAGAACACAATCCGCTCTAGGAAAGGGATAGACGCCGGAATGTCAAACTAGCAGCTTTAGGGTTAAAATAAAGGAACTATGATCATGTCAATGATGTTTCAATCGTTGTTGGGTCTAGACTGAGAGTTCCTCTACGTACCTCATTGTTAACAATCCAAACCCCATTGACAGGTGGATATGCGCAATGTTTGGTCTTTAAGTGTAGCCTTCTTTCATCGTCTCTGCTTTTGTAACGCAAGCGTGAGCTCTCGGCGGTGACTGTGGCATCGGAGTAGTTCGAGTCTCAAGAGACACTGCTGGTCGTAGATAGCTTCTTGACTTCGGCTTGGACGCAACCGGATGGAAACTTTCAGTATTAGGTCTGTCACAAAGCAGAACGGCAACGGCAGCTGACCACTTACGCTACTAACTTATTAGCACGCTGGCTGTAGCTCCCAACATAAAAGGTGCCTTCTGCTCACCACAGGTGAACCCCTCAGATCTTCCACTTCACAATTCCAAGCCTAACAGAACCAGTCAATAAACCCACACAAGTACTTCCACCACCAACATGAGCTCCTCAGACAAAGAATCATCCTCCTCCAGCGGCAGCAGCTGGTTAACCACCCGCGACAGCGGTTCGAGTACCGACTCTAGCAACAGCTCAGGCACCTCCCAGGGTTTTGCCACAATCTCTCCTGGCGTGGGAAGCGCCGGAAACACGACGGTGGGCGGATCGACTGATAGGTACTACTATAGTGGGGGCCCTGCAGGAGGTAGTACCACTGGTGGTGGAGGTTCTAGTGGCCATACCACTAAATAATTGCTTGGTGTTCATATGGCTCGATTGTGTAGATCAGGTAGTTGCTGAGAGACTGGACGACTTCCGCTTTGTTGGGCCGGGTCGATAGCTGAGGTATAGGTCATGAAGACCATGGAGAAACCTAGTCTGACCTGTGAAAAAGGGAAGTAGCGTTGAGTTGTATTCGAGAAAAATAAAACGAATTATGGCAAGAGGCAGTGTTAGCTTCATGTTCAAGAACTGGGTTTTGAGTGTTGTGATGCATGAACTGGACTTGACTTCGTCACAACGGTGTTTGGCATCCGGCCCTTCCCGGGTAGCCCGCACTTTCCTGTCTCATTCATGAGGAGTAAGTGATTGTTGGCAACATGAGAAACGTTTGGTCATCCCTCAAGGGCTGCAAGATCGTTTGCAGTCCGCTTGTCCTTACGGCTTCCTTTGCTGATAACGCTTGGTGAATCCAACACATCAGTCCTGATATTTCACACACCACCAAACCCGGAGTCCCTCCTCCAACCCGTCATCTCCGGGAAGAATGTCCAGATGAACCACGATCACTCGCTCATGGCCGAACATCAGGGACAAACATCTCGTCAACAACTCGAGCCTCAACTATAAGGACACTCAAGCCTATAAGACTCAACCCCTTCCCTGCCCACAGAATCTCTCAAACTATCATCACACATCCACACTTCCACATCCTCAAATCCCAAATACCTACCCACATCAACCCCAAGTTTCCAACAAACACCGTCAAGATGAGCTCCAACAATTCCGGTTCCGGTTTTACCGGCGGCTACAACCTCACAGGCGGCTGCATCTCTACCACTCGTAACTCCAGCTCGGGCAATACTTCAGGCAATACCGTCAGTTCTTCTTCTTCCTCGTCCAACTCCTCTATCTCTCGTCACGACAGCGGTTACGCCACGGGCGGCGGTGGCGGATCGTCTTCCAGCTCCGGTGGCAGCAGCGCGTGGGTCGAGTGGGTATCAGGGTGGCAGTAGTGGGGGTAGCACCGGTGGAGACTAATTGCGTTTGGTATGCTTTGGAGAAGTGGAATGAACTTGGAGTTCAAGGAATGATGTTGACTTGAAGGACCGGGGGGAATCATAAGGTGATAGGGCTGGAGATGGATTGAAAGCGGAGGCGAAGCATCCGATAGTCAAAACAATACAAGATAGCCCTGAGGGATCTGGGTCTCCTGTGACTTGTATGTTCCGTGGCGTTTACCATCAACGGTCGTGCTCACGCTGGCGAACATCACTCACTCGCATATAAAACACCACCTCCACCACCTTGTACCTCCCAAACTTCCACTTGGAATTACCATCAACGGATGTCACTACTCTCCACTATTTCCATCCATACGCAAGATACTTGAACGTCCGTACCGATTCTTCCAACTCCCACATCTTACTACCTTCCGGGCCTCTGAGTCCTCTAACTCGCCCGCTAACCCGCAGTTCAGTTCACAGCCTCATCTTGGATATTACCCGAAAATGGCCGTTCTCACTCCCTCGGTGAACAATAATGAGTACAAGTGGAAGAAACCCAAGCGCGAAAGCCGTTCAGGGAGTCCTTACGAAAGGCCATCCAATTCCGGTAGTTCTGGGTCTGGTTCTAGCGGTTCTGGCACCGGTAACTCGAGCGCCGGCAATACTAACACAGGCTCTGGGGGTTCGGGGTCCGGTAGCTCTGGCTCTGGCTCTGGCTCTGGCTCAGGTACTTCGAGGTCTAGTTCGTATGCTAGCGGTTCAGTGGCTCGTCGGGAACTGGTGAGAAGGACTCTGTATGTAGACAGCTTGGTGTTGATCGCCTAGGGGTATGTTGGGAAAAACTGGAGAAAGACGAGAATGCTGAAAGGTAAAGAATTCGTGGAAAGCCAGTGGGACGAAATGAAAGCGATGAGATAAGGAATAATAGCCCCACACAAGACAGAAAGTATGAAGCTTGTTCCAGTACATGTACCACCTTATCTGTTTCGTGCTTCCATACTGCCACGAGGCATCTGCGCAATACGTCCCCTCAATCATTGCCGCTGGTGCTTGATGAGATCTCAGTAAATTGCCGTAGCTTGGGGCCTAAGAGCACAAACCTCACTCGAGTGTCGCAGCCGCATTGGTCATTTATGCCAAACCATCCAGACCGCCAGAACCAAACAGCCGAACGGAAGCCACTTGGCGCTGGCAAACCATACATGTACCACCACAAGGTCGAGGATGTTCAACGATGGATATGCTCAACGCAAACATCACCCACTCGAGGATATAACAGCCTCGAGACTTCCACAAGCCCAGGCTCCAACTCATCATCAGCCAGTTCCACCACTCTCTTCCCCTTCCCAAATTCCCGACCAGAAGCAGACACTTGTCCGTAAGGAATTCTTCCCGAACCCCTAGCTTTGACTTCCCCTGACTTCCCACAGCCTGGCATCCTCTTCTCAGTCACTCACCCATCCATACAACTACAAAATGACCGTCCTCACTCCCCCCAAGCTCGACGATGAGTACAAGATACCAATCGCCCAGGCTGGTTATTTCGGATACAGCTCCCGCGGGGGGTCATCTGTTGGTTCTAGTGGTTCGAGGTCCGGTGATTCGGGTTCCAGCGGTTCAGGTACGAGTGGCTCGGGCACCAGCGGTTCTGGTTCCGGTGGTTCCGGATCAAGCAGTGGTGGTCAGGGCACTTCCAGCTCTGGTTCTCGTTCTAGTTCTGATTCAACCTCTGGAAACAGTGGCGGTTCATCCGGTGGCAATTTGAGCTCGGGAAGTGCTGATAAGGAGAAGAAGTAGTTTGCTTTCGGGTGCCTGGGCGCAGGCTAGGCGGGCAGATAATGTGAAGTAGCGATGAAGAGCGAGGAGGTGTGTGAAGACCCAGTTCAGTCACTAGACTGTGAAGTGAAAGAAGCGTATCGAGTTGACCATGCGCGTTCCCGCCTCGATCTGTGTCATTGTTGCGGTCCCGTATTGTCGGTGTCGTGCGCCTTGAAATGGAGAGTTTTTTGGTGACTTTCGCGTCAAACTGCTGTCCACAAGCCGCCTCCCTACCAACGACGCACTCGCATCAAACACCGGCCTAGTTTGCCCCCGCTTCCTGATCATCACCCCTGAGAAAGCAACCGTTATGACCTCCGGTGATCTGATGTCCGAAGGCACCTCGGTGACTCGGTCAATACTACTCACGACCTGATACCAACAGTCCAAGGCAAACTCGCCTGAGCCCATACTTTTACGGACCGAATTCCGAACAGCATGTGTTCAAAAATACACTCTCAAGAATCGAGGTCAAGGCCACTTGACACTGACAAACCCGTCGACCAACAACATCGAGAACGCCAACGACTGACCTCTGATCTCATCCCGTCCCTTCCGTGTCTAGGCAGCCGTTTGTCGACGCATCACGGCCTCCGACGCCATAGCATCATCAGCGCTCACCCGAGCACGCAAAGAGGACGCCGATGCTGCTAACTCGAGCATATAAGCCCCATTCTCACCCTCCAACTCCCAGCTTTCTTCACTATCCACCATCACTTCCACATCCACAATCCGCATCCAATCCAGACACCAGACCTAGTCCAGCCTCAGAGCAGTAAGCCTTCCCATCACCCAGCACCCTGCCCATAACATGACAGTGATCCTTTCAGCCAGCAACAGAACCCAAGTTACCCCATCAAAACCCCAAACCCAACTCAACTCAAACATCAAAATGTCTTCCGCCACTCCCCAAAAGAACACCACCAACGATGCCACCGCCGGCCTGAACGACGAATCGCGCGGCTACCCCAAGCCCATCGGCCCTAAGCCTCCCCCCAAACCTACCCGTGAGGGTGGTGAGGCTGCTGATAGCCAGAGCACTGAGGAGAAGAAGGAGTAGGATGATGCCATTGGCGTGAGTGACGGCGCGAAGGACGGCACGAAGGGCGCTAGAGGCGAAAGGAGTGGAAAAGATGAGGCGGAGTGTTGGTGTCAGTAGGCAGTAGGCAGTAAGTCTAGGGATTGTCGTTTGAGAGAGCAGGAGATGGGGAAGTTGGAAGATGAAAACAGGGTTCGCAAGGGAAAGTCTTGAACTGCGTTGTGAGAGCGGAAAAGGGATGAAAGGGAAGTAAAAGGCTGATAAGTAACGAAAGACGACCAGGGAAAGGCAAAGAAGAACCAAGGAAGTCTGACTCCGGACACATGCACATAACACCCGAGTCTAGAAGAGAGAAATAAAATGTCCCGAGTTCACCACTCCTTCCGTTGCACCAATGCACTCGCAATATGGATGTATGTCTTAGACATGTGTCCATTGTTCGCTTCTCATCTCAACGTCCATGCAATGTCTGTCTTGTGTTGTCTCGTCTCATTCCTCCCCGTCACCGAAGCTCCCTTGGAATGCTGGGTTGTTATTTTGTTTCGTGGTTTTGTTTTGCTGTTTTGTTTTGCTCTCTTCCTCAGTACCTCTCATAATTCGCGGGGCAGTAATTTTCCGCTCACTCGAGCGGAAATGCGTGTTGATACATAGCCTCGAATCGTCGAGATGCCCAACGGCGAGAATGTGATAGTTAGTTGTCAAAAGCCGGCTTTGGCCGCTCGAATGCTCGTTTCATTCTCACCGGGTGCCCATTGTACGGCTTCATGCGCGGAAGTCATATGTTCATCAAGCCGCAATGGGATGTAGCAAAGCTGTGGGGAAAAGAGTGAATCACCGTTGTCGCCGTGGTGACCGCTGTGGATGTTGATCCAATTTCGGTTGGTGTCGGTCAAATGTTGGAAGAATTGAGATTCGAATTTGATGTTGCTCGGTTCCGCCTCTCCTGGCGCGCCCGGACCCGGAGCCGGAAGGAGCCGTGGAGTGGGCGGGGTGGAACCGGAGGGGTTCTTCCGGCCGGTTGGCTGTTGTGTTGCTGTTAGTGGTCTATTTTACACTAGCAGCTCGCTGCAATAGAGATTGACCTAGCTGATAATGGCTGTTAGTGGCTTCAAAGTTGAAAGCTAAGAAACTCTGCCCTACAGCGCATGCAAGCACTGCGCCTCCCCCAGAACCCCCAGATCACCACTGCAGCCGGCCTCTACCATCTTTCGACAGTGTCCACAACCCCTACAGCTGTATAGTAGTGTCCACACCCGCTGTAACCTGAGTACCGGTACTTCCTGCACGACTTCCTTTTTCGCTCTGCAGGCCTGCACAACGGACTTTCCCGCTCACATTCGATGTCCACTGTTGATCTGCAATCTCGATCACCACCAGATTTTACCAAGAAAAAGACAAGAAAAGAAATAAGCTTTTGTGATTTCCTTTTCCTTGATCATTGCGCAGATCAAAAGCAATTCTGGCACCTTTTTAGAAAACAGATTGTCGCTGTCAGTCTTGTTGTCATATACACATCATCACGGACCTTTCCGTCGCCCTTTTAGACAGATGCTCACCCACGGAGGACGGTCTTTCAGGGAACCCTTCATCGGACAATGGAAATGCTCTTTCAAAGAGATCGCAAGAGCCTTTGCCGATTCTCTTTAAGAGGATTGACAATGCCCCGGCCCGTTTGCTCATTGTTCTCATCACCGGTACCGGAAGAGAAAGAGAGAATCTCGACAGACAGAGGTGATTTGGTCATTGGTTACCGTTATGAGCCTCATTATCACATATGCTATCGGTGACATTGCGGCCCACTTGGCATGAAGGAGCGTGCGAGTTTTGGGAGATTGAGGTTTTTGGGAAATTGCACTCACGATGATTGTAGCGAGCGGTAGCGGCAGCGATAGTAAGGGCAAATTTGCGCAGCAGTGAAGCAGTGAAGCAGCGAAATGTCTCACGTAATATCCCAATTGCGCTCATCTCACGAGAATCATCACATCATATCCATCGTGCCCAAATGACCGTTGCTACTCTCGTCAAAACCACACGCGAGAAACACTCAACACCATATATGCAAACATAAACATTAGATACGAGACATGCACCAAAAGTAGAACAAGAATAACTTTGGAGGAGGAAAGATTCAGATTCGGGGTATATCATCTCAAGAACGCCAGAAGCCTTTTCGCCAGTAAACACGCGTTGAAACTCCGGTACCAAAACGAACACACCGTTTTTGATTGATATCCTGGTATTCCTTCTTCTCATAAAACCTCCTCCACCTCCTTCATCTCTCTCCTAAAAAGTCTCCTTCCCCAAGGCGTGCAAAGATTCCCTCCCTCCCTCCGTCCGTTCTCCAGCCTGCGTATCCAAAATCCGCTTCCTGGTTCAAAAATCATATTCATTCCATATTCATCAACATGTACCCAAAACAAAAAAGTTCCTCAACTCTCTCCAAAAAAAAACCGCATCATCAAAAAAGAAAAGCTGGGTATAAGACCCTCATATCGTGCATGAGGGCATAGCGATCATTGAGCTCGCGAGAGGTGAAGTAAAGAGGATTAAAGGGGCACAAGTGCCCCAAAGTCCAGCCAGAAAAGCAAAAACAAAGCAAAAACCATATTGCGCAAGTCCCAGTGTGTGTGTGTATGTCCCCTTTCCCCGTAGATGAGAAGTGAAGTAAGCCACTGGCGCAAAAGGCCAGTTAAGTAAGAGCAAAAAAACAAGAGGGGGTATCGAAGTGAGTAATTTGGTCGTTGCATGGGTTCGTCGTGTTCGTTAACCGCAAGCGGTGAAAAATGTTGTATGTAAGTGTAAAAAGGGTTTTTGGGGAAAGGGGGGAAAACAGGAGGGGGACTTGACATAGGAACTTGCGACAAAGGAGAAGTGGTTTTTGTTTTTGTTTGGTTTGCTGGAATGAACGAATTGAAGTATTAAAATGCAAAGCTTGTAGCCAGTAGAGTTGTAAGGCGGGTTCCCTTTCGTGAGACAGAGAACCCAACTCTAACTTGTGAAGGTGAAAGTATGAACATTGGTATGTTTGTGAAGACCAAAAGGTGGTTTGTGTGTGGTGATTGACTCCGACGACGTGCGCCGAAGCCAGAGAGGGTGATGCGGCGTTGCATGCTCGCGCCAGGTAAGGCGGGGAGCAATGCAGAAAACAAAGAAAAGAGCTGAGGTGATGTTTCGCATCGAAGAGTTCGGGTGGTTTGTGGCAGTGATGTAGAACGGATCTTGTTGTTTGTGTCCATGTGTGTGACAGTGTGCTTTCCTTGTCGCCGACGACAAAGTAAAGCTCCTCCTCCCCTCCCCTAGTTCATGATCCAACCACGAGCCCACGGCACCACCACCTTAGAGCATCACAGCAGCAACCGCACCGGCCACCATCGCGACAGCAGCGTGCGACAGACCACCCATGCCACCGACAGCGGCGTTGGTCGACTCGGTAGGCGCCGCGCTCTCGGTGACGGTGGGGGCATCGGCACCGGTGGTGATGGCAATGATGGGCGATAGCGTGGGCTGGGAGAAGTGGGTGTTGGTGGTGGTGAAGACGACGGTGCTGTTGCCGCTGATGGAAACGACGGTGGAAATCTCGGGACGCGTCAGGGTGACGGTCTTGGTGAGAGTGGCATAGCTGGTCATGGTGGTGGTGGAAAGGTTGGGTTGCTCGCTGGCGGAGGCCATGAGTGGGAGGGCGGCAAGGACCGCGAGGATGGAGGTGGTGAACTGCATTTTGTCTGATTTGTTTTGGATTGGAGACCGATTCCGTCCTTTTTCTGCCTTTTTCCTTATTGCGATTGAAGCTCTCAAAGCTCTTTTTGGATATTTCCCTTTCGCGCGCGACGTGTCGGTACGGTTAACGTAAGTATGTATGAGAAGTATCGGTGAGATATTGTGTTTGTCTGTTGTTTGCGACGGGATTGATGATTTACGGTATTCGTGACTCGTAAACGAGGTTGGTGTGTTGTTAAAGAATGACTGGCCTGAACACTTCAAGTATTCAAAGGTCGGAGAGGTGTTTTGATTGCTCTTGAAGAGTATATAACATAGGACTTTGCCAACGAAGCCTGTGGGTGAGCGGATGAAGTAAGAAAAGTGGAAAAGAGGAAAAGGGAGCGGGATGGGGCAGCATGGGTTCAGGAGGAGAAAAGAGATTGTCTGGATCCATGCCGAGTCTGGGGTCGGTCAACTAGGCCAACGAACTAGGTCCGACTAGGTGCCGGTATGGGAATGGCGCGCATTGTTGCGAAATTGCCTTTGTTGACGCCAAGAACAAAAGTCAGTAGTACCTGGCCTTTTTGGGCAACCACAAAGGGAAGCTCATGACAATCAAATGCAGGAACCGCTTTGTCCACCAGAGGGTTCTGATTGGCTGGACTCCCACAGACCGTCTGTTCCTGCAGGTATTCGGTACCACCAAGACAGGCACTCTCACCAGCCAAGACGTTGCAAAAGACACCTCGCGCGGCAGGTATCAGGCACCTCATTTCCAAGGGAAAAGCTTGCAGGAAATTGCGCTTCTCTTTAGCCTCTGTTGACTTTTGTCTCTTTCCCCAGAATTTTCTGATCCCGACTCTTTTGAGACGAACATGGTCCGTGGGCGAGGGCATTTCGGGAACCCTTGGTTTTCGGGCCTATATCGCGGGCTGAATGGGAGGAATTAAAACGACGATGGCGTCGGGTTAAAGATGGGCTTTGTGTTTACGCGAAAGGGGGAAAGAATGCGCCAATGTGGGCGTGCAATGGCTGAATGGGCTGTGCTTGTTCCCATTGTTGACATCTTCAGAAGTCCAGATTCCAAACTTCAATTTGCCAGCTTTGGCGATGAGAGCCTCGATGTTTGTCTCGACCACGCTTGCACGCTTTATCGCTGATCCCACCTTACAACACCAGGTTCCAGCAAATTATCACCGACAGAACCACATCTCCAGCGCAATCCACTGATGACGACGTTGGTGGCGTGAGTGGTTTGGGGATGTTTCTTCACCTCAGACACACCTCTAGGGCGAAAAGTGTAATTTGCGTAATTTGGTCGGCGGCAGGGAGTTCCCGTCTGTGATTGTTGCGTGGATTTGCGCCGTCCACTGGACGCAGAACACACGCAAGCGAAGCGATTCCTACGCCGCCCACGCCGCCAGTTCAGTGAGCTTGCCGTCTTGCCCGCTCTCGAATTTTCATTGGTTCAAACCTCAAGGTGGATCGTGCGGGGATGGAAAGTCAGGAAAGCCGGGAAGGAGAATGGTACCTGGCGCTAAACCGTTTCCGGCTCTTCCTCCCAGGCTCCCAGGTACTTTCGGGAGACAAACCCCCAATTGGCAATTCAACCTTTCAAATTGACTTTTGACGGTGAAGAGCCTCCTTTGACTGCTTTGAGTGGCTTTTGTCGCTCTTTTCGTCAAGATCTCCTGCTTATCGTCACTCATCATTGACAATCTGCGACCGTTTAGGAATGGAATCCTTGCTTTCTCCAGTCCCGGAACTCCATCCACGACATGTCCACATCCCTCAACGCAACAGCATCCCCGGGCCTGACTACACATCAGAAAATCCACCCCAAGAGATTGGTTCACACCCTTGTTGACTTTCAGTTCTGTAAATCAGGATAAAAAGCTTGCTGAAGCTTGTTCACGCCCGCTCGGTTTGGGCATCCGAGATGTTGATCACAGTCAACCTGCGTGTCCCGATTAAGAAACTTCAGATCGTGGGGATGGTATTTTGCGGTGAAACGGCAGAGCGGATGCAAGAAAAGGAGTCAGGCAGTCGGGTACGCTCGCCTCCATTTACTTCATGTTGACATGCAAGCGAATTGAGACAATGAGGCTTGACTGGAGCTTGCCTGGGAAGGAAGCTTGCAGCCTCAGAAACGTGGTCGCAGCTGGTCGCACCATCGTGGTCCCAATATCCACCACGGAAACATCTCCTTTTCTTCCTGTTTGGAGCTTCTCTTCAGAGCCACTTTGAGTTCCGTATGTGACACAACCAGGGCAACCAGGGCCTGGGCGGCTGTAGCATCGTGAGCTTCCAGTAAAACATTATCCGACAAGCCACTGCCAGACATTCTTTCCAATTCCCCCCACACGGACAGCTGCGTTGACCATCATGGTCAACGGTCAGAAAAGGGCCAAAAAAATTTGTCGAACCTGCGCGGAGCACGATTCGAACCGCTGCTACTATGGTGGTGGATAAGCCATCGGAGGTAGCGACCCATCTAACGACTTCACCACAGCCCCGCGGTAAATTGATGACTGTAGTTCCCAAACACAGACCTCAAGTACCCGCCTTCCAACATGTAGTGAACCGTGATACGAGACTCCAGGCATTAAGAACGGTAGAATGCAGCGTTGACAAAAACGCTGCCGTCAACAAGGCTTTTTGAAACACGCCACGATCTCGATGCCCTGCCATAGCTAAGAATCCCTAACCCCGGCCTTCAGCTTGGTCTTCTTCCATGGTCACATGAGCAGGCGCCCGACTTTTGACGAATTGACGAAACCGCCATCGCGGTAAAAACTCTCGGCGACCTGAAACAGAGACCGGAAAGGGCCGAACGTGAAACCAACGGCCGCTTCGATATGTCGTGGAGAGCGGTTCGTTCGGGTAGTTATGCGAAGTGTTGTTTGCTTAAGGAAGTGGAAAACCGGCACCTGCCAATTAATATGTCAGTGGTATAACTCTTTCGCTAAGACCGAAAGCTTGAGCGGTGACGGGCTATGACGGATTATGCCGTGGTTAACGCTGCAAGGAAGGGACAAGCGCCAAGACAATGCCGGCCAGCTTGTGCAGGATAGCGGATGGGTAAATCGACGATAGCTTCACTAAGCTGAATGTTGCTGCAGAACCATAACTCCATATTCCCAACCATGGTGGGTATTCCCAAAGCATCGAAAGCCAAAACCTGAACTCCGTAGATGTATCTTCCTGACCATACCATCACATCCCTCTCATTCCTGATCCTCTTCCCATTCCCATCAACGGCTCTCAGTCCTCAAGTAGCCCTCCACCGAACCCCGACCTCCACACAGCTCACAGCTCTCACCCTCGCCCCATTCCCTTCCTCCTCTTCACTCCCATCATCCCCATCATCCCCTTCTTCCCCCCTAGCAACATCATCAACCCCCCTCACCGTCCTCGTCCTCAACAACACATTCAGATCCCGTTCTCTCGTAAAGAAACACCCCACCTCCACAGCCTTCTGAATCGCCCTCCCTGTCGCGACCAGCACAACATCATCCAGCGCATCTTCCACCGGCCCTTGTCCGTCTCCTTGCGAATTGCCTCCAGAGCTGGTGTCGAGGGCAGCTATCCTCGCCGTTAGGGGTAGCCCCTTGGTAGACTGTTGTCGCGACATCGAGGACCGAGACTCAAGACCTTTGCGCACGCGCTTGACGAGGGACATGAATGGAGCGTTGGATGTAACTTTTATTATGAGCGTGTGGGGAGCGCGCGGAGGTGGGCGGTAGCCGTCGGTGTCGGTTGGTATTGTGGAAATAGCTGAAGAGCGGGAGGCGCTGGAGGAGAGGCGGTGGGAGAGGGGAGCGGGGAGGGGACGTTTTTGGATGCGGGAGCCTGGACGAAGAAGGGTCGTTAGTTCGGGGCTCGATGAGGTTGGAAGGGTAGGGGAATGGGACTACCACAAAGAAAGAGGGGTGACGTACCTTTGGGGATAGCTGGCATCTTCTGTTCTGGCCGGTTAGGCAGCGGTTTGGGTGTTGTTGATGCCTCCATCGTGGCTTGATTTGTAGAATACTTTGCGCGACGCGATTCTAGAGTCGAGAGCTGAGGGTCGAGAGTTGCCTAGCTTGATGCGCCGGCTGTCCTTTTATGCTTGGATTGTCGCGGATGCCGTAATTGACTCCCTAGTTGTAATATTCAGGCTGATGAGTCGGTGAAGTACGGTTGATCGTTTGAATGTTCGTTTTTCGTCGCGGTTGTTTGTATTGCAAAGATGGCCAAACGGGTGTTGCGCCAGGAGACTTTGATGAACAAATGCTGAATCAAGAAACAGTCAAGATTCAAGAGGGTGGGGTCACTTACAACCCCAGATTCTCTTGCCGCCTCACCGCCTGCTGCATGCGGCTTAGCTTGCTTCTGCGGCCGCGAAAGCTCCCCACTTGGCTCCACGCACCAAGCATCCCGTCATTCAGTTGTCCCAATCGCTGTCCATTCAACTCCAGCAAAACATCACAACAGGCAGCATCTTATCGTCCAAGTATTATTCTGGCCACGACAACATAGCCTCCTCGACAATCCGGACCAGACGATGGATGCCTGCTTAAACAACACGAATCACCCATAAAACCCTACGCTACCACCATCATCAACCATGTCTGTGGAAATCTGGCCACCTATTGCGCCAGACCACCTGAAAGCCGCCGTCGAGACATCCCAAGTAAGCCTATCCATCTTGTTCATCCGAGATCCAGTCTACCTGCGACACCATTTCTGTAGAGATTTGTGAAGGCTGGGAGCTAATTGACTCGCCCTTTGTGCGCCCTCCTCCTCGACAGAAACGCGAGCTCGATTGGCTCGTCCAAGAACTCCGCGAAACCCTCACCAACCTCAAGCATGGTCTCGAAGACTGCTATGCGCTGCTTGCGCCGATAGACCCGGGCAGCACCTTGGTACTCAGCACACCACGAAACGAGATCGTCAAGGGACACATCACCCGGGTCGGAACACGGATAGTCAAGGGCGTCAGTCGCCTCTCCCTCTCTGCCTGCTCTTCATGACAACCACTGACAAGAGACTGTCCAGACAATCCACCTCCGCCTGCGCACCCTCCCTCAACAAACCCTCACCATAAACCCCAACCACCCAATCCACCTCGCGCCTCTCGTCACTTTACACACTCTCCTCACACACTCCCTCGACCTTTTGACGATGACTTTATCATTCACCTACCCGACCGAGTCCACCACCATCACCTCCTCCGCTTCCGCTTCCGCGTCCGCATCTTCCACATCCAAAACCAACCCAAGTTCACAACCACCACAACAACCTCAACTTTCCACCGCAGCCTTCCTCTCCTCGCAACTCCGTCTCCTCTCCCAATCCATCTCCGAATCCTGCGCAATCCTCAAAGGTCCACCATTAGTAACAGCCGCCGACCCCTCCTGGACCACGCGATCCATCGCTCCCTCGCACTTCGTCCCCCCATTGACGGCCGCCGCGTCAAATAATAACCATAACCACCCTGGAGCAACGCCCATACCGCCGATAAGTTTCCATCTAAGTATCCAAGAAAGCAGCATCGTTCTCTGGCTGCGCAGTCTCGAATCGGCCAACGCCCCTGTTGGTTTCGGGACAAAGCTTGCTTTTGCGATTGGTACCGCAAGAAGATTGGAGCATGATGAGGCGGATAGGGTGTTTGGGTTTTGTTGTGCTGGGGAGACACATACGGCTGGGCCGGGAGGGAGTCCGGGGGGTGTGATGCCGAGTAGCAGTAGCGGCAAATCTTCGCAGACTGCGGGTACGGGGTCAATGGCGGGGAAGAAACCACAACAGTCACAAGTGGATGTTTATGTGAGAGAGAAAGTCCGAGTGGAAAGTGCCGATCCTAGTCTGCTGTCTCTTGCAGCGAAACTAAACGCTTTGGGACACACGTTGGGCTTGGCACGAAGAAATCTGGCGGCGGTGATGGGAGAGGAGCTGGAGGATTAGAGGGCCAGACGGCTACTGTCCTCGTCGAGGGGGAGTACTGGTAGCTACTTGGGGTCAGATGGGACGGGTGATGTTGAAAGCGTTTACGGGGGTCGTTGTTGTTGTTCGCATTGGCTGGAGTTGGATAGGACGTTTTATACCAAGGGGTTTATGTGTTGTTTTCGGCATTGTTGTCCGTAGTCTGCGGTAGTCCGTAGGAACAGTCTACGCTTTGGGGGTTTAGCAGGCGCTTCGTTTAGCAGGCGTGGTTTTATCAGTAGCACGGTAATGTTTTCAGAGGAGAAGTACAAATACGAATGGTATCTGTTTCTTAGCTTTCATGACTTCCCTGACATAATCGCAAGTTCGCCTAACTCGCCTAACACTCTGACTCCAAACATTACAAAACGCAGCATTTACACATGTATAACCCCCATTATCCTTCAGTAACCCAGCACATCACATCCCGTCATTATCATCTCTTTCAGATTCTCCCCATCTCCCTCCCCAAAGTACTTCACATCCCCCATTTCCCTCTCCCTTTTCCCAATCTCCCAACCTTTGTCCCAATTAGGCAACAGGACTCCAACTCATCGGCACCAAAATCCTGCTCTTCATAGTCTGAATAAGCGGAACAGTCTTATGCACCGTCTCCGCCCACCCCTTGATAGCCCAACTCTCCTCTCTCTGCCTCCTGCGTTCCTCGAGGTCTGCAAACTGCCACAAATGGTGCACGGTATTGAGCTCCCCGATCTGCACGAACCAAGCGCCCACTCCCTCCATCACCTCGCGGCGAGCCTTGAGGCCGCGGCGCCAGTGGGTTTCCCACTCCAACAAGTTGCCCGGGTGTAAAGTGTAGGAGCGCAGTTCGAAGATTCCGCCCAGCTGGCGGGGCGGGGTGGTGGGCCAGAAGGAGAATTCTTGCATTAGGGAGGTGTGCCGCTTGTGAAGCAGGGGGGCGAGTTTCTTGGAGAATTGAGGGTAGGAGGGGTGCGAGGAGAGGGAACTCAGGGAGGAGTGTAGGCCAGTGTAGCGTTGGTATTCCCAGATGTGGACTGTGTGATTTATGGAGTTAGTAATTTGGCCTAAGTGATGTTGTTTCGGGAAAGTGACGCTGCGCGCTGCGCTGGCCTTTTTTTTTTTCTTTCCTCGCTTCGCTCGAGTCGCATCACTCGTTGGCAAAACTGCTATGGGAGCAGCAGGCGCAACAAAAACCCAGGAATCGAGCGAAGCGAGGACCAAAAAAGGCCAGCGCAGCGTCACCATCACCATCCTTAAAGGAAAGAGAAAATACTAACCAAAAGTATCAACATCCCCCACCTCCCCCCTCCAACTGCCCACAAGATGCACCTTATTCTCCGGATCCCCCGCCCACTTGGGGTACCACTCGCCCACCAGCGCCACATACTCATCCACGCACTCAGGCTTGACCTGGTCAAACGTGATGCTGTGCACATACTTACCGCGCGCCAGCACCTGGGAGAAACTGGCTTCCAGCTGGGCATCCAGCTCTCTTCCTTCTTTTGTGCCGTAGATGAGATTCGTCAGGGGGCCGACTTTGCGGGGCGGTTCGTGGGCGGCGGCTTCGGCGCGCGCGAGCTGGGCTGCTTCTGTTTCGGTGTGAGAAGATTTGGAATCGGGGGACGGGGATGAAGAAAGAATGGACGATAACGCACTCGCTTCCTGCTGTCGCTTCTGCTCTGCTAGCTGCTCCCGGAATAGTTTCTGTTTGGCATTGAAGGAGTCGACCGTGTTGGGTTTGATGTCGGCTAGGGAGGGGGTTTTCTTGGAGTTGGAAAGGACCGTGGGAGTGGCGGAAAAGGGCCGGAGTCCACCAACGGTTGTTGGGCGCATGGCGCGCAGGGCTTGTCGTGATAGCATCTTTTCGGCAGTGTTTGGTGGCTTAAGGATGATGTTTGTGTTGTCCGTAGAAATTGAAGTTTCGCAAGATAGGTGCGAAGTCGAAGTGGTTGTGCTGGTCGAATGCGACAAGCGAGTGACCGTGACGAATGCGGTAGGGTTCAGCTCGGCTGACGGTTGTATCCGTTTCGTGGAAGTATGATACCTGGGGTATGTATACTCTTGTAGCTCCTTGAAATGTGACTGTCGCGAAACAAAGAAGCGAACCTCCTGGAATGGGTCGATATGGTCAATATGGCACGATCCAGGTGATTGTTGTGGTTTGATGTGATGTTCCGAGGTTGGACAACGTCCTCTTCCAGAAGGAAAGTGGCAGTTGTGTTGTGTTCCTTTCCGGTTCTTGGGGGGAAGCAGCAGCTTTGACACGTTCGGGCAGCAGACAGCAGACAGACAGACAGCAGACAGCGGGAAGGCGGGCGTTTCTTGTTGCGTGCGGGGAAGCTTCGTTCCTTCTCTCTTGAACAACCAAAGACTGGTACTGTCCTGTACACGGCACGGGATGTGAAGCACACACACGCACAATAACCAGCAATGGAACGACGGAGATAAAGGTGTGAAGGGTGTGTGAACGGAAAGGGACAAAGTTTGGTAGGAAAGTAGGACCGGGTGAAAGTGAACAGAGTTGAGAGAAGGAGGGAGAAGATCAAGAGTTATTGGATGGGGGAAGAGTGTCGGGTAGGCTGTGTAACGATGAATTTCCAGGGTAGCAATGAGGAGGTGTTGTTCTCGATGTGAGTCTCGTTTCCCCGCAGTCTAACTGTCTTGGTCTCGGATGTGGTGGTGGTGAATGGTGATCGATGTCTGGATGTTGGAAGCTGTATGTAAACAAGAGAAGAAAGGGGGCAGATGTTGAAGGAAACACAGAGGAATAATAAACATCTTGATAAACAGACAATCACTTCTTGATGGGGATAAGAGTCTAAATAGCTTCACTTAAAGCTCCCATGATTTGTCCATCGTCAACTTCACCGACCAAAACCCTTTGTTGATCCTTCTCTCCGGATGTCTTGTTTACTTTCCCTGTTTCCATGTTGACATGATTCAGACGAACCAACAGTGACAATGCCCTGGAAAGAGCCCTGAACAAGAATGCTCAAGCGAGCACTGGCGAGACCAAGCAAGAAGAGGAGCTGCCCCTGTTGTTCCTGCTCCAAGTTTCCACTTGTTGTCCAGCAGGGTCCTCGCACTCCATCGCTCTTGACTTGTCCACCAATTGCATGTCTCAGAAACAGGCAGCTCCAGACGGGACCGTTCCCGCAAACGGGAGTGCGGGGTATGATGTCACGGAATGGAGTCATTTGTCACTGGGCCAAAACGGAGAGAGGCTGCCACGTGATGCCAGGCGTGATAGGGAAGCACGGACCATTCGCTGCTCTTCGAACTTGATGAAGCACAGCTTGGAGCTTGGGCCTCCTTCCAAAATTGACACCCCATATTTCAGGCACCAACATCATCCAATCGGCGGCGGACGGCAAGCTCACGAAAAACGCTCGCCTTGACAGAGCCGACCCTTCATCCGTCACTCGTACAAACCCACTCCCGGACTTCAACCCAGTAGCCCGCAAATACCGTCAACATGTCTTGGTTCGGCGTCACCCCCCTCAAGAAGTTCCCCACGCCCGTTTGTATGTTGCCGCCTGATAAATCCCCTCAGTCAACCCTATAAGACAAGACACATGCTAACATGCCTGCAAACAGTGCGGCCGATGGCTCCCTTCTTCGCTGCCGGTATGCTGCCCCGCGACCTATGATAACCCCCGGTCCGATCGCCGAATGCCCGAGGACAGTCCGACAACAATCAAATATCCACTGCGACAAGGATAGATCTTGGGAGGAACAAGAACTGACACGACGCAGGTTTGGTCATCGCCTACGGTATCAACTCTCTCCAGGGCGCTCTCATGCAGTGTACGTCGCGACCTTTCCTACATACATCTCCTAGGTCTCCCATTGGGTTATCTCTGTCCTGCACCGATGGGACCCCTCGACTGACAGACCACAAACAGCCGATGAGTGGAAGAACGACCCCCGCAACATCTACGCCAAGAACAAGCCCGCCGCTCACTAAGCGATCGATTCCTTCGAAAGAACGAAAAGAGGCAGAGATGGAGTGATGATGTGATAGAACGACACGAACAAGACAGCTTTTGGCAGACACCCTAGACCATTATCGAGAACCCCGACCCCCAATGGACCGTTATTCTTCATCAGCAGCAGGAAACTGGCGCCAGTGTATACTATAATGGGAGAAACCAACAAGCCGGAATGAAGTGACTTGTGTCGGAGTACTGCATTCGTTTCAGGCAACTGTGACATGCGCCCATTTGCGATTCGGACGACGACAACATCGACAACAATGCGCGAGGAGAAATTGGGCGAGCAGCAACGAGAGGACGATGGAGGGTACATGGGCGGGGGCAATGGACACAATCGATACAGCGCACAGTACGTGTGTGCAAGTTTCCGACAATGCGATCCACCCTTTACCACGACCCATTGAGGCCATCCGAGGAAACCCATGCTTCACACCAAAGAAGTTGCCAGTAGACGCGCTTCGGCGTGTCGAATCGACATTCACATCATTCCCCCGTTGATATGGATGTTTTCGCACTGGCATAGAGAAATCATATTGACTCATTGCTGGGCGCCCATGTTGAGAGACCGTTATGCGTCTTACGGGTATATGGGAATCAGTAGAGGTTACATTCTTTTGTCTTTTGTTCTGGGGAGTTGAGCTAGATCGGGGTGTTGTGGGTGGGATGAGTGGAAGTCGAAGGTGAGTGAATCGTAGGCTTTAACGTTGACCTGCTCCTTTGCCTCCTTGGCCCGAGGCGGCGACGTCATATGTAGCCCCTGAAATAAACAAATAAAAGACTACTGAATGAGGGTTCATCATTTCCCTACCTTGAAGCTGCTCTGTTTGTTGTGACCATTCGGTGTTATGAAGGCAGTGTTCTTATCTTGCCCCCTGGCCTGATTTCTAATCTCACGAGGCTCCGAACGGGCGCAGTAGCGAAAGCTCAGCCGAAAATCCGCCGTCTCAGTCACATCGACACGACTCATCCATTTTCACTTTTTCACATGTTCCGCCTTCTCATCCGCACTCCCGCCAGATCATTTCAAGTTCTGAGCGCTCAACCATTCCGATCATTTTCAATCAGCGCTGCATTCAAGTTCAATTCCAGTCTCAACATGGCCGACAGCAGCAGCGCGCAATCAACTCCCGTCGAGTCATCGGCATCGACGACACCGGCGCCGCCCAATGCCAATGCGCCCGCCCAGCAAAAGCAGCAAAAGCAGCAAAACAACAAGAAGCAAAACAGACCTCCTCATCCTAATGCCATTGCCGCCGCCGCCAATGCGAAACCGAAGCCGGTCAAGAAGGAGGTTAGGATATTGATGCTTCATGGTAGGTTTACCGATGGTACCTGATTGCACCTCATCGCATTTGCGCTGACCCCGCGTCTCTCACCGCGGCGAATGGCGAACGGGTCGGGTGAAGGTCACTCACCGCGGTCAGCTCATTGCATTTCTTCACCATCACCACCATCACCAACGAAAACATCACGAACACCGTCTCATCTTAATAATCACTCCATTCTCCCCTTCCCCTCCCCTCCCCATCACCCTGTCATTCTCCTCTCTCATTACCCCAACACACACTGACAACACGCCACAGGCTACACCCAATCCGGCCCTCTCTTCCGCGCCAAAACCCGCGCCCTAGAAAAACTTCTCATCAAAGCCCTTTCCCCCTCAACCTCGTGCCCACCTTAATCTACCCCACGGCCCCCAACCGTCTTTCCGTCTCTGACATCCCGGGCTACGAACCCTCTCCCAATTCTCAGTCCGGGCCCGGCGAAGAGAAGGAGCTGAGCGATTCCTGGGCTTGGTTTCGCCGTGAAGAAGCAACCTGGAATTACCGCTTCATTGGCGAGGGCTTTGAGCGCCTAGCTGAGACGATGGAGAAAGTCAATGGTGGTGCGGTAGTTGTGGACGGGTTGGTGACGGACCAGAAGGTGGGGGAGGAGGGTGTTGAAGAGCCGAAGGAACTCAAGGGGGTCGTGAGGAGCGAGGTCATCGACGGCGTAATCGGCTTTTCGCAGGGTGGCGCAATGGCAGCTATGCTCACCGCCGCCATGGAGCACTTATCCCCGGGTCATCCACGCCCGGTGTTAACGGCTGAGCATGAAGCCTGGGCTAGGCAGATAAGGGATGCGAACAAGGGGCAACCGCTCAAGTTCTGTGTGTCATACAGTGGCTTTTTCGCACTGCCGCCTGAGCTTGGATGGCTGTGGGAGCCGAAGGTCAAGACGCCGACGATGCATTTCTTGGGAAGTCTGGATACGGTTGTTGAGGAGAGTAGGAGTAGGAGGCTGGTGGAGGCTTGTGAGGATGCGGTTGTTGTGGTGCATCCGGGCGGTCATTATGTCCCGGTTAGTAAGGAGTGGGTGGCGCCGCTGGTGGGGTTTATTAGGGGGTGTTTGGAGAGGTATAAGAAGGAGGAGGAGGAGGGGAAGAAGGGGGAGGAGGAGAAGAATTTGTGAGGTGGAAGGGTGGTGGAAGGGTATAGAAATGAGAGAGGCACCTGAGGAGAAGCAGACGAGGTTCCGGAGTTCTGGACGAGGTCAATGAGAGAAGGGAAATATCTTCGGTACAGGCATTCAACTCAACAATCGCAAAGGGTCAGACTGCGGGTGCCATTGAAAGAAGTGGCTTCAGCTTACAACGGAGGGTTCACAGATAGACGATAGACGATAGACTGAGAACGAAGAGAGCAAGTAGACCGAGGTAGATACCGAGAAGACATCGACCTGTTCACATCATCAGGTGTGAAGTGTATCTTTCCATGTCAATCTCTCCCTCTTTACAGCCCGTTTGTCATTTTCTTTTGCAAAGCCACACATCAGAGTCATCAGCTTCTACAGAGTAAGGTTGTTAAAACGACAATAGCCATGGTCCAAACCGTCGCTTACCAGTCGACCGGAACCGAAAAGACCATTCTGGGGGACTAGATTGGTGAACTTTCATTTCAGAAATCGCTCATCAACCTTTCGGTATCCCATCTCCACAAACGGTGTTGTACATATTACCAACAATTCACAAACCTTGACAACTGCCTGTACCTGGCTATAAACTTCCATATCGGCGTCAATCAGTCAGTCAGTCAGGTCAATCACTAAGTCAAGCACCTCCAGCACGTTCACTGCAGTGAGTGATTGTACCTCAAACATTCCCTTGTTCTCACATACAGTTTGCAGAAAGACCGCCAAAGTCGCCTTGCCTCGTATCTATCACGTTCTCTCCCTTGCTTTTTTTCTTGTTTTTTTTCTTTATTTATTTTCGCCCTTTGCCTGTTCTCGACTTCTGGATCGTTTGAGTTCGTAGAAAAATGAAAGTGGGAGATGGAGAAATCCCAGGGCAGGATGAATGTTGATGAATTAGGTATGAGGGCTTGAGGGATGCTGGAGTGCTTGAGTTCAAGAAAAGGAGGCAAGGAGATGGGTTGATGGAGATCCAGGAGGAAGGGGTGGAAGGAAGGTCGACCCTAACCCTCCATGTCTTGGAAGCTGCAGGGGCCAGGGGGTTGCAGGGGAAGGTGGCTGGTGTTGTCTGTTTATCTTCGTGATGGTTGTGGTTCGGGCGGTGCCTTCTTGACTGGTTTTCGAACGGAATCTCGGAGAATTAAAGGCCGCCGTAAAAGGTGTTAGGCACCAGCACTCCGTTGAATTGATGATGGGATGGATAATCACGTAATTGACAGTGTTATCTGTTGATGAGAAGGCTTGGTGATTAAATGGACGCTAACAAGCACTAACAAACAGACCTCAACAGGAGGAGAGGGAAAGTCACTCGTCCATTGCATCACAACCAAGGTCGAAATATGTCTTGAAACCAATTTTCTGTTTTACTGAGGATCTACTTTATAGGATTCAAATCCCATCGCCCCGAATGGTGCAAAAACTTTACCTTTCTCTGTGGTATTGTGCTCCGGAACGGTCAGATAATGATGATGACGTTAAAGGCTTGGTGGGGCCGTCAATCGCGATTTGCACCACTCAGCCCGAGCGTCGTCTTACATCCTCCCCATTGGGGAATAACACCAAAGTCGAAGATGTAATCAATATCTGCCCACCAGGCTCACACATCAACTCCCTATCCAAAGCAGAAAGAACCTTCTGGCCCCAAAGAACGTATCTTCCAAGAAAGAGAGGGGAACGCAAGTCAATTGATCAATCATGTCTCGCCTTTTAGTGTGGTGATCCGCGCGGTTTGGACAGCCATGACGTTATGACTTTGACATCATCACGTCTCTTGGTGAGGAGGAGGAGGAGGACTGGAGGAGGAGGTTTCTCGTAGATATATATGAAAGCTCGGCCAGGTTGTCTCTTTTGGCCCAGACCACAGACAACAAACAACCAAATCCAGCAACACAATAGAAGAGAAGAGCTCTCGAAAACCACCACTCCACGAACCGAACAACATCAAAAGATCCATCTCTCAACCAAATAGACAACCCCCACAACACCATCACAATGTCCTCCGACAACAAGAACAAGCAAGAGCTCAACTCCCTCGCCCAGTCCGCCGAGCGCGACCTCAACAGCTGGGAATCCAAGACGGGCCACCGCCGCACAGGGCTCGAGGACGACACGGGCATCAACGAGTTCAATGCCTCCAAGAAGTTTCCCGGCACCGAGATCCATTACGGCGACAACCTGGTGACCAACGCATCGTACAACCGCAAGATTCCACAGCAGGAGGGCGGGGATTTGGATGATAAGGGACAGTAAGTCCTTTTTTCTTTCCTCAAATTTGGTTCTCTTCTCTCGGTTCTCTTCTCTTTCGGTTCTCTCAACTGCCCAACTGGTTTTCTTCAGTTGGTGTCGTGGGCAACCCAAGATATTTGAGGGAATGGGAACCGAGTCGGGCGAAGCTAGGAAACAAAGGTGAAAATGGTGCTGACCGGATGTAACAGCCTCCTCCGCGGCTCAGCCTACGAAGGCCACGGCGGTCCCGAAGACAAGACGGCGCACATCTACCAGCATAACCCCGGTTCCATCGACGAGTCCGTCGTTCGGGGCTGGGGCAAGGACCCGCGCGAGCTGAACACCGTCGACCCTTCGCGTCCGGACTTGCTCCCCCCCGAGATGGCGCGCGGTCACGGGTACGAGAACACGGATGGCAAGCCGCGCCGGCACCAGGAGGGCGTGCTGGAAAGCGGAAGAAAGGCGGCGCAGCTCAATGTCTATGGAGAAAATACCGGTCTGGGTCATAGAGTGGATTTGCCCGCTGGTGCGAAGGGCGGGAATAAGTGGAGGGGGTCGGAATGGGAAGCGCCTGAGAGTGTACCCGACCAGGCGGCGGATATGAATGAGGTCCCGCCGGAGAGTGTTGTGGAGACTAGTAAGAACTTGCGCTAGATCTGGATATGACGGGATGTGAAGGAGGATGGCGAATAGGGGAAGGATAGATGGGGTATGGATGTGATGACTGTATGAAGTATGAACTTGTACTATAGTGTATCTTAGCTTGGAACTTGACAGTTTTCATTTCTAGACGTATATTCGTCTCCTGGAATCCCCTGCATATTGTTGTTCCATCTTCCAATAACATCATTCCATCATTCCATTTTCCACCTTCCATCTTCCCATAAACCTTCTTCAAAAAACCGCATCTCGCTCCTGCACCCCCTCCTCGCTTATCAACACTTCGGCCGAGAAAACAGTCAGAATGCAGAAAGAAGAAGCACCAAAAGTGGAGAAATCTGAGACAACCAACATTGATGATCTCTCTCGTACGACTGTGTGAACACAGGGATGTTGCCGTTTCGTGGTACAACGTGCTGAAATTCTGTAACCTCGCTTATGGTGCTTGCAGGTGCTTGCAGGTGACTGATCGATATCGGTCGCTTACCTTAGGGTAAGCGTCAAGGATAAGAGCTGGGAGAGGGCAGGTAGCACACCGGTGTGGAGTCGAAGTCTCGAAGATGTGATTGTTGATGTCGAGTAGTGGTATTGAAAGGCTGGATCTTCTATCAAGAGCTGGTGGACTTTGCGGACATTTTTTCTTTTCCTTCCTTTCTGTTTCAACTTTGAGGAGGTTAGGGAGGACTGAAGGGATGTAGGTAGTAAAGAACATGCGGGGAAGGAACAATAGTCAACAGTCCATGTCAACAAGGAACCAGGAGGTATTATTTCCCATGTCCATAGACCTCAGTACATGTAGAAGCAGTCATCAGAAGCAAGGGATGGAGCCAACCAACTAGTTCTACCATCTATTTCTGCAGGGGTCAACCACGTTCTAGTAGACAGAAACAACATAAGGCAGCAACGGATGCATCAAAAGCCACAACACCCAGCAAACATCCACGGGTTCTGTTCAGAAAAGCAATCCATTACGCCTTTGCGCGCCTAAAGCCTAACCTAGTGGTCTGAGGTATCGCGTAAGCAAATGAAGAAAGAAAACTAAATTCCAAAGACCCAGAGATGGGAGCAAAGGACATGTGAAGAACCGGTGTGATATGACAACATGAGTTTTGAACAATGACCCAAGAAAACATCCACGAAACAAAACAACAACAGACAAGAACCGTAATGCATCCACGTGATTGAAGTCTTGCCTCTCTTCCATTTCTTCCCACCGATGATCACCATCACTCCTTCCTCCTTCGGAGCCCCTTCTTCGGGGCCCCTTCTTCAAACCTTCCAAGCTCACAAAGCAAGAACTTCATGCCACCTTCCCCACCTGTCCTCATACCTGCCATTATTCCCATGGCGGAAGTCAGACCCGTTACTTCCGCCAGCAGTGCTGTTCCCACTACTACCTTCTCCACTGGCAGTACTCAGATCCAACACCTCCGCCTCGAAGCCGTGTATGTCGCTGTACTCTGTATCCGCAGGTGAACTGTTGGCAAGGACAAACCCCCCATTATTCGTATCGACAGCCGGTTGGATCGAAACAGGGACAGAACGCGGTATCGGAATCGGTGGCAATCGACCGAACCCAGCAGCACCCAAACCCAAACCTGAATCGAAGTCATCAACAGGCCCAAGAGGGCCATACGACCGAGGCGAAATCGTGCCCAAACCTCCGTTCCTCACTCCATGACCAAAAGGCACAATCGGGACACTCATACTCCTCCCGCCCAACATCCCTACCCCAGGGACGTTGACTAGCCCACTCACACTCCCGCTTCTAGGCATGACGTGCATCCCCATCCCGCTTTGCATCCCCATACCCATCTCCCTCACCAAATCCCCTCCTGCTCCTCCTCCCTGTTTTAGTGGCATCAACATCCTTTCCCTCTGAGTCTCTCTTTCAACTTCCAGCTCAAGCTCAAGCTCCCGTTCCCTCTCCCTCAGCGCCCCCCTGAATTCCTCCGCCTCTTCCCAATTCCCCACCCCACGAAGATAAGCTTCCACTTTTCTGGTCGTCTGAATCCAGAATTGATCTCTTCCCCTTGTCACAGTTCCGCTGATTCCAGACGGAGACCCTGTCATCGTGAGACTCATACCCATTCCCATTCCCATACCCATGCCGATTCCCATCCCTAATCCTATACCCATTCCTAGAGGTAGTTGATGGTTGTTGGGGGACAAAGACAAAACGGTGCCGGGAAGTCCGCCGCCGTTCATAACCAGGATTTTGCGGCGTAAGGAGACAGCTTGGGAAACGTCTCCTTCGTAATCAGCAATGGATGCGAGGAAGTGGTGCGCGGAGAAGAAGAGGTAGCGGTCGAGGTATTCCCAGTTTTGCATGGGGATCGGGGGGCCTAGTGCTAGTAGTCCTTGGGGTTGTGCTTGTCCTGATGCTGGTGTTGGTGCTGGTCCTTGGGTGATAAGATCGTGTGGTCTGGGCGCCGGTGCGCTGGTTATGCTGTTGATGTTGATGCTTCCCGCTCCGGGTCCGATAATACTGCCGCGGTTTCCATTCCTAGAGGTAACCCTATACTTCTCCTCCAGCCTCTCGATCAGTCCACCCAACATCGCTCTTGCCCTATCACCTGCTGCCGTTTTCCCGTCTCGCCTTCCACCTCCCCATCGCCCTCCTGCTTGTCCCATCCCTCCTCCTCCCTGCCCGCCACCCCCATTCTGCGCCCCAGTCTGTCCCCCAACACCAGCATCAAAAAGCGGCAAATACATCCTCGCCAATAACCCTTCCAACTCAAGTATGCGTTCCGTAGTCTTCCCCTCCCCCCACCTGTCCTTCTCCCTCCTCACCAAACCCCCAAAATCACTAACCAGATTCTTCACAATCGCATGTTCCGGGTCCATCAGGATGACATATCCCCTCTTCAGGTGAATCGTTACATGGTCCGTCTCGCCCCTTAGTTGGCGGCAGGTGTTAATCCAGAGTTTCCAGGCCCTTGTGATGAAGAGATGCAGGGAGTTAAAATCGGAGGTGGTGACGAGGTGGTGAAGACTAGAAGAGATCTGGTGTAGAGGATGGGAGGTGGATGTGCAGCCTCTGCCTGTGTGAGGAGATCCGTATTTTAGGGTGGTGAGGTGGTGCAGGAAGCGGGTGTATATGTGGAGGATGTCGTGGGGTGGTTGATGTTGACCATTGGATTGGGAAGAGGGGTGGGAAGGGTGTGCTTTGGTGGTGTTGGGATGGGTGGAGGAAGCGTTATGCAGAATCAGAAGTTGGGGAACAGCAAGACAGCAATCCCATATAGCTTGGATATCGCCTTCATCCGCGGTGGTAATTGCTTCTTCAATCTGCAGAAAGGCGTGTCGCAAGAGTGCGCCGCCTTTTGCTGTTCCTTGGGGACTGTTGCATCTCAGATGCCGAATCGCAAGAGAAATATTTTGGAGAATGGAATTAGAGCACATGTTGGCGCTGTCAGCGGCGTCAATGTAGTTGGTATCAGCGATATGCAACGTCGGTCTGGAACCATCCATTTTCCACGGCGTCTCTCGTTCAGGGTCGGCCCAGCGGGCGATGTAAGACGCGTACGCCAGCAAAGTTGACTCGACTAGGTAGGTTGGCTCGCTCTGGAAGTAAAGGCGAATCATCTGGGCTGGTTGCAATATGAAGTTGGCTTGATGACATCCTGGCTTCGAAATATGGCCGTTGCTGCTATGGCTGCTTGAAGACGTGACCCCTTTTCTTCGCATGGATCGAGACTTGGTCGGCTTCGTCGTGTTGGTGTTGCCGGATTTGTTGTACTTTGCCCATCGCCATTTGGCGAATTGGCCTTTGTACATTCGGGCCCTGAAGTAGCAATGAAGTTAGTCAACTGGTCTCCAGGCAACTAAAAGGAAAAGAAGCATACGTTGCCTTGAAGCGATGCGTTGAAAGCATAATCTCCACCACATCGTTCAGTATAAAGTTCTTGTTCATGTACAAATCATAGATGATATCCTTCTTCGCCTCCCAGTCAGCCGGACAGGTCGGCACCAATGGCCGTTCAGGCAAGTTGTTGTTGTTGTTAGGTGTCGTCTTCGTAACTGGCTGTCCATGCTGCTGCTGCTGCTGCTCCGTCGTCGGATGCGCGACATTGTGATGGTGGCTTTGACTGTGATGACTAGCGGTTGAGAGGGGAGAATGATGCGAATGTGAATGCGATGAGGAACGGTCGTCTATCGATCCTGAAGAGCTATCAGAGTCAGACGAATGACCGCTGACGCTTTCAGGACTGAGGGGTTGGTTAAAGTTGAAGAGTTGAGCAGATTGAGTCGTAGACGGGGATATGACTTGTGACGCGCTCATGATAGCATGTTTTGATGGCAGGGTGGCAATAGGATTTTCTGCCAAGGGCCCGCGGGGGTAGCCAGTTTGGTCTAGATGAATTGGTTGCTAATAGTCGTGGACTGAAAAGTGAGTTGTGAGTTATTGAGAGTCTGTAAGCGATAGAATCGTCAAGCCAGATTGTTGTACGGGTGTGGTTGGATGGAACAGAGAAATAGGATGGATGGAGGAGTTCAAAGGGGGAATGGGATGACTGCCACAAGAGGAGTGAGTGAGTGAGTGAGTGAGTGGACAGAGACCATCCATTCAAGGATTCCTGTCCGTACAAGGGGGCGATCGATCATCCTTGATGCTCGCTTGCATGCCCTTCTTACTTGCCATGAGTGGTGCCCTGCCGCCTAGAACAGAGCCCCCAGACCGAATGATGGACACCCCTCCCTACAGCTCTACCCCATGCCTGCCGCTTCCCTTTCCGTCTTGAGCGTGTATCCCATCTTTTTGCCCGTCTTAGCCGTTCACGTTTCCTGTGTGTACAGTGTTAGTTTCTTTCCTTTCCACCCATCGTCCCGTCTACCAGATTTCCTTGCGTGGTGCACACTTTCCTCCCTGTCTTCACACATCCAGCCCCGCTCCCTTCTCGCTTCTAGTTCGACCCTTCAATCATTTCCTTTTGCTATTTGCGTCACCCCAAACTCCGTTGTGTCACCGTCGTACAGCCCTCTGGTGAAGCCTGGAGCCTGCATTCCAACACCCAGAATCTTCACACAAGTGACAGAAAGAGGGAGGGAGAGATGCCACAATCTGAACAGGGCGGCCGTCCTCGCCCCGCATTCTCTAATGGCCAGGGTCTGAGATGGGCAAATGTGCACAGCACACTCCCTAACAAGGCCATTCATGGTGTATGCTAGCCGAATCTGCTCGTTTTGTGTGACACAGTAATCGGAAGAGGGGAGGCCGACAGCGTTTTGTGTGTCGGAACAGGGATATGCTAGCGAACCTCGGTGTGCTGTGGTTGAAGCTCTAATGAGCCGGGATCAACACTGAACATCACAGCAACATTCGGTCCTACCAATTCAACCACGCGAGGCTATGAAGGTCGTTGTCGGAATCAACAGCCCAATAAAGCATTGGAGTGAGAAAAACGCCCGAAATCACCCCACGAGCAAAGAGCAAACATGAACATCTTCCAAGCCGTAGTACCCGTCGATAGCCCGTCCGTAGAGGCTCCTTTGTGAGATACCCCGGGGTAAGCTAAACGGAGAGGATACACGCGCGCTCGTAAGACACCCGAGAAAAACTGGTAGTGATCAGCTCAAACGCCCGCTATCTTTCGTGCGGGTGCCGGGTGGCTCTCAACTCAGCAGTTCGTGGCGGTTCTGTGTGTGTGGATGTGTGCGGCCTGGGCGTCGGCTACCTACCGGCTGTCGAGCTGTGATACTCCATCATGGGGTATTCTAGCCGTATCTGTGGCGTGAGAAACCACTCTCACAACCCATGTTGATGTTCTATCACAACTGACCAGCCAACCTTTGAGCGTCGAAGGGGAACACGTTCTGTTGCGCCAGTTAGAAGCTTTCATCAAGACACAAACTGAGTCCGGTCCCTTGGTTGGGATTGGATAGCGTACTGCAGAACTGGATGTTTAGGTATGATGAGATTTCGTTCCACCCAGCAGGCCATAAGGGAGGGAATCCCAGTCAGTCCCAGTCCAGTCAACGGTCTAGTGCACGCCACTATGACCACAACACTAGGCCACGAGGTGTCAAAGAAGTCGGTCGATGTTGATCAACAGAATCACTGCTGGGTCTTCCATGCCACCATCACTCCCTGGCAAGTGTAGCCCGTTGATTGTAGACGAGTGAGGGTAGATCTTGGGGACCATTCAATCACTGAGAGCACAAAGCGTGCTGGCACAGCGGTTTTCGTATGCACCGAATACCTAGTTCGTGGAACCGCGTTGCAACCTCGTGGAACTCGGCAGGGTGAAAGCATTGGCTGATGGCTGATGCAATCTGTGTATCGTCTAGCCGCACTGTGGTTTCGTGTGGTCTTGGTGAGACATGATAGTGGACTTGGTGAAACGTTGGAGAGCAGAGGAATTGCGCCATCCGGGCGTTGGTGTTGATGACCTAGCTTTTTTGGGTGCTGAAGTGTGTTCCCAGGTCATGATGGCTGTGGCACAGAGATTGGGACTGGGGAGGCGAACAGTCAACCGGAAAGTTGGGAGGAAGATTCTGTGGAAACGGACGAGTGAACAAGATGATATGATAATGATCAACGTGGACACGGTCAGTTCCACGGCCGAGTGGTTCTTGTTGCCCGGCTGCCGTCATGGCCGTATGTAAAGTGATGTAGCTCAGCTGCTGAGCGTTACTGCGTTTGGAACCTCGACGCCCTGCTTGTCAGTGTCAATGGGGCCAACAGAGAGCTCACCTGTATGTGTATATCAATCACATCACGGCCACCCGCCTGAGGTAGAATAATATTTATACAAGTACCAAAACAGTGCAAAAAGCTATATGCGGAAGCTGGTCTACTTACAATGTCGAGACGGCCTATAATCTCCATGTCCCAGCTCGACTCCAAAGATCGAATCCAGATGCCCTGATACTGTACATCGTCCTAGCCAGATGTCCTTCCCTTCCTTCCATTCCTTGCCAAATCATTCCCGCCATGCTCACCCCTAGTAGTGAAACAAGGCAAGAGTATTCGCAAAAGTCGCCAGATTCTGGTTCCAGCCCGCCAAATCCTTGCTGTCTCTAGTGATCATGCTGACACTACCGACCGTGTTCAGATTGTAAACCTGCACCCACGGGTCCGCGGTCTCTCCAGTAGACCCGGTGGTCTTGTTCGAATGGAAGGGCGGCCTGTGGCTCATTACAAACTTTCCGGGGTTTCCAGCTCCAGTATCCCTGGGAGGGGTGCTGGTACTGAAGCCAGAGCCAGGGTTGAGGGGTCCAGCCCAAAAGATTCTGGCCTGACAGTTCTCACCAGAACGAAGAGTGCTGCAATTGACGTTGTAGTTATTGAAGAAGCTGTAAAGGCCGGCGCCGAAGATGACCACGTTTTTTGAACCGAGGATCCGGAGACCCCACGCCATTGCACAGGCTGGGTTACCGCCCAGAGTGAGAGAACCATCGGAGTTGATTGTCGTGTTGGCGCCGTACTGGACGCTTTGACAGTCGGTGTGGAAATCAGGGTCTCCGAGAGTGGTGTCGATCCGGGTGAAAGGGAACGGAGCAGGCGGGTTGGGCTGGTAGTAGGGCGTCTCGGTCTGAGCTTGACCCATGAAGACGTCGGTTGCATTGAGCAGCTGGTACTGGTAGAGTGTGTGATGTTCGCTGGAAGTGCCTACAAGCCAGACACGTTTGCCTTCAACCAAGACACCACGTCCAGCAAAGACGCTGATCTGGGTATTGTTGAAGTCCTCAATGTCGTGATCGGCAACCCAAAACCAGCTGTTCTCCACGTAGACATTTCCAGCCTTCTTGGTAACGTGAAAGCTCAACCATGCTGAAGTACACTTTGCATCAGCGTGGACAGCGGCATCCGGAGTCTTGAGACAGTCAGCGAGTTGTAGGTTGGATCCTGCAAAGCCACCAATACGTGTGTGGACGTCCCATAGACCAGAAGGAGGCATTTCGGCAACGGTAGAACTTGGGCCAGCTGGAGGATTGAGGTTGTACTGGATCAGGACAGCACCTGCTGTTCCTCCCTGGGTAGACACAATGATGTCGCTAAGTTCCACGCGGCCAGCCTCTCCCGGAGTTCCAATCTGAACCACAGCTTGCGGGGCGTTGATGTCTGCGAACTTGGGACCCGCACCGAGGATAACCGCTGCCATGGCTTCACCCACAGCTCGAACACCGCCTGGGATGTGAATAGTGTCGGTGACCTTGTAGTATCCTGCGTCGATGTACGCTACAGCCCCTTGCGTGTTAGCGGCAGTCTGGAACAGGTGGTTCAATGCTGCGGTATCATCGGTAATTCCATCGCCAACGGCACCATAGGATCGAGCGGAGAGGAAGGCATAGGTCGCGTAGGATTCGTACTGGGGCTTGGACCGCTCGTAGAATTTGCCGTTCTGCTTGAGAGTGGTAGGTTGAGGGAAGTAGACCTGATCGCGGTCCTCGTACTCGCGTGGGCCATTCGGGGTGTATGTGTTACCCTGAACTTGTTAGCATTTCTTGCCTAGTGGATCCTGTTGTTGAAGGAAAACCTACCCTTGCGTAGCCTGCGTCATGAACCAGTCCCGAAGGGTTGCCCTTCAGCAAAGGGCCATCCGGACCCTGAAGAACGGTTGGAACGTTGACATAGTCCACGTTTTCGACCACAAGTGAACCTGTGGAATTGACGTGGCTGGCCCCACGAAAGGTGGTCATGGCCGTCTGGACGTTGACGAACCTGCTGTCCAGAAGAGTGACAGAGCCAACGGCGTTGCTGGACATGTTGATGCCGACCTCGCAATCATAGATGTTCAGGGACTTGTACGTCCAACCCCAGTTCCACAGCTGCATGATGGCTGTTTTGGAGCCGTAGAAGGTGAGGTTGCGCATTGTGTACTGCTGGTTGCCGAACTGAGCGCCCTGCTTGCCGCCGTAGAAGACCAGGTCCGCCAACATGCCGCCGCTTCCTTCCTCCATGAAGATACCGGTATGATCATCTTCGGGTCGGGAGGAAAGCTTGAAGATGCAGTTCTGGATCGAGGTAGCCTGGGAAGAGGGCCAATGGAGGCCAGCGACGGTACCTGGGACGTCCGTGGTGTCAAAGACAAGGTTGCGGATTTGACGGAAGAAGACATTGGTGGCTTTGAACTGAAGGGCTGTGCAGACACTGTCAGTTGGGGAAACAATAGGGGTCAGATGCAAGGGTGAGAAGACTTACTACCACTGTTCAAGTACGGGTTGGAGTCAATCAAGCCGATGCCGCCGTAGGACTGGAAGTTGGGGCTGCCCTTGATGACCGGCATGGAAGTGGGATCGCCAATGATCTGGGTGTAGTAGTAGTTGATGATGTTGGTAGTGACGAGGTAGGTACCGGCAGGAAAGTAGACGACAGCCGGTGTGGTGGTGGTTCCGTTGCAGAAGGGGCCGCCGCCGCAACGGTTGCCGGAGCTGATGGCGTTGTTGATGGCGATGGTGTCGTCGGTGACTCCATCTCCTTTGGCGCCATGGGCCTTGACATTGCGGAAGACCTGGTAGGATTTGTCGGGGTTGAACGATGCGACGCCCTGGTGCTGCATCTCCTCCATCCAGTAGGCCGCACTGGCGACTGAGGCCAAAGCGGCGAGCACGATGGCTTTCAGCCGCATTGTGACAGAATCGGATGGTTGGTAAGGATGTGGTCTTCAAGAGTTTGAGGCAATCTGTCGACAGCAAGGAGGCGTCGAGGAGGAAAGCGAAGCCAGTCGTAAATGGTAAAAATACGATGCGTGACCGAATGCAAAAGGAGGGTGGAATGCTAGGAGAGAGATCGAGAAGGCAAAAAGATTGTGGGAGTAGATCAGCGACCGAAGCACATTATATCCGGTTGGTGGTGAAGGGTCTTGTCAGGACGAACGAGTGAAGAGGTTTCAGGTTTGAGTGAAGGAGGACGGCAGAGGAACCCAAGTTCAGCGGAGCAAGTGAAAGTGAAGGTGAAGAGGCCTCGTTGGATCTGGTTGGCCAGGGGCCGGTTCCTGCTCGTCACTCCTTCCATCTTCGACCCAATGTGTCGGTCGGTGGGCATCGACCTTGGTGGGCTGCGTGCCTTCCTTCTTCAATCTGGACCCGTCGACTCACCAGCAGGGCACTGCACGTGACGAACCGTATGAGATGGAGTTTCAATCCGCATCCATCGCCAGGGGCGCGATCCATCCATTGAAGGTATGCGGTCCCAACTTCAACCCTCCGTCCAGCTTCATCACAACTTTCCGACATCCTTGGTGTCAACACGGTTTGGTACCCCTTTCAAACTGCCACCACGCACTCAATCATCATTGCAACTTCATCCCGACAACAGACTGCGACAAGTCTGTTCCCATTCAGTATTGCCCACTGCCCGCCCAACCCTTTCTGTACCTCAACTCAACTGTGGCATACGCTCGCATGTCGCATCAAAGCCCCCCCCCCGGCGCATCTGCACAACTGCCTGACTGACTGGGCTTCTGCCTGCCGGGTGAGACTTCTCACACACCTAGGCAAGGTATCTCAAGAATAGAGCAAGCAATGCCAGTTCAGCACCGCTCGACAGATCCTAGGCAATCCTGTCGATTACCATATAGACATTCCGGCGGCCGGTATCACGGACCAGGGTCGACCGACTCGTTGCTCGATTTTTGGAAAGGTGATGGCCGCCAAGCACCTTCGTAGTCGCAAAGAAGGGCATCTCGCCCGCTCAGTGCTTGGACATGGCGCAGTACCAGTGGGGGAGGGTGCCCAACCACGAAAAGCGCGAGAGAGTGTCTTTCTGTGGGGATATCGACGAGCAAGATGAAAGGCAAGAACGATGCGTGACGTTGAATGCCCGGTGGCTGCTTACGTAATGCTGATAAGGGCCCTTAGCAGAGAGCCTTGCATTTCAGCGCAAAAGTCGTTAACTGCCACTGTCGGCCCGAGCCAAGCTCCGCGTTTGTTTCCCCCACCGTGCCGGCGCCCCCACCCTTGAACGACATGCCATTCTCTCATCCAGCGGCGGCTGTTCTCGACGACATGGTCTCAGGTCTAGCGACAACTTTTGCACAACATGCACCGCGGCCATCGCCCGTTCCGTTACCTTCGTTAAAGTGTGGGGCAGCGGTACATGATGTCCATATTCTTTTGGCGCCTTCTTCACATCCTCTCTGCTCAAATGGATTGATGGATCTTCCAACGGTTCAAGTGGCCGACGCACTGTTCCTTGACCTCTTCCTCCTCGTCTTCTTGCTGTCCCAATCGCTGGGAACATGCCGCTGGCACCTCTCACGAGATTGTCTGGATCCTGCCTAGGACGTCAGGTTTCTTTGTTCTGCCGCGTTGAGCTTCCCTGCCCCTCTGCTGTTGTCCAGAACCCCGCTTCGAAACAAAGACAGCAAGCGCTGTCAACAGAACATAACATGCCCCTCATAACCAACACCCATTTTGACCCCGCTCGGTATCCCGTCACCAACATTCACCCCCTTCATCAACCCGTACCACCATGGCTCAAAACACTCGAGTTTCAAGCGCGGCTCATCAGTCCGAATCGACCAGGACCCCCTATGCAAGCACCTCATCCGCTGTCATCACTGCGAGCCCCAGCAACATGTCTCCAAATACCTTTACTACCACATGGCTGAGGATATGGTCGCGCCGAGGCCAGGACGAGGATGATCACCTTGCGGATGGTGCTTGGTGATGTGGCATGGGTGTTCGGTGGCAGACAAAGTCTAGAGGGGACATGCGCTTCTTGTTTGCATCAATGGGACGGCAATAAGCGCCGGACACCTCATGTTCGTTTACGTTGACAACCAACGGGCATCTGAGCTTGTCACTCTTTGGCCATCAACTGTTGGCACTCAATCAGCACATCCATGCCCTCCCTGTTCAATGATATCTCGCATCCCCAGACTCTCACTCCGGCATATATCTTCATTCCTTGCTCCCACCCATGGCCCTCGTCGAGTCCTACATATCCAATCCACCCAGCTGTTTTCGCGACCACCACTAGCTTCTACGACTTGCCGTTTTTTATTGAACCGAAACGATGCGTCTCGCCGCTTCTCTTCCGGTTGCGCTACTTCTAGCCACCGCAGACATGTCTACGGCTACTTCCAGTCCCAGCGTGACCACTGCTCCCACTGTCTCGCAAGATATCCCTAGCACCTTCATCACCACCGCAAGCAATTGCACGCACACCGGTCCGACTCATTCCATGCATCGTCGCGACACCGAAGCCATCACCTCTGCTCCAGCTGTCGCACAATCTGCAAGACCACCGGTATTCACCTCCGTCACATGCATCGAGGAGTCAAACTATGGGGAGGAGGACGGATATGTCAAGCATATATGCAAGACTTTTGAGTACAGGCTCAAGGAGCTGGAGAGCGGTGCTGGATGTGCCCTGCCGCTACATAGCACGCTCTGGGGAATGGCGGCAGTGGCTGCTATCACCATGTTGTTTTGAGCCGTTCATCGTTGATGGCAGATCACAAGCCTAGATTTAAAGCTAACTTGCATACATGATGGAATAGAGACAGCCGGATCGGCTTGGATCAGCTTCGGGTGAAGTTGAAGGAAGGAGGCTGGGGGCGAGATTGGAAATACCACCATTTAAACTTTTTAGTGCAGCCAAGTGACTCCACATCTTAGTGCACCTGCCTGTCGATCCTTGTCACCCGAGCCGTATCAAGCTCCGATACGTGTCAGGGCTGGACTTTTCTCCAGGCCGAATCCACCGGAAGGAGGCTCAGCTGCCCCAGACCCCTGGAAAATCTCTCGGCCTGCTTTACCGCCGGAGTTTCCTCCATGATCTGCGTCTTTTTATTTTCTACAGTGACAGCTACTCCCATGTGACTGTCGAGTCTGTTTCACTGCCACGGACATAAAACGACCACGTCTCTTTCATGAGCTCAAGGACATACCGGCCTGTCTGCGTCCTTACACATATCCGACGTCTAAACAGAGCTTACTGCCATCACGAACATCTGGGCAAGAAGTCTCCATATTAGCTCTCACGAACAAACAACGGTCACCAACACCTACTTACGGAACTCATCAAATCCTTGAAAAATGCGTCTCACACACCTCACACTCAGCTTCCTGAGCCTATCAACCGCATCCGTCATCATCAACCCCCAGTCCCAATCCCAGTCTCCTTCAGTGACGATTTCCGCCTCCACCTCAAACATAACCGAATCTGCAGTCCAAACCGGCACGGGGCCTTCCAATGCACCCTCAATGACCCGCGTCAAGCCACCATCACCATCCCCTCCGCCTACCCCTCTCGCCGCAGAGATCGACTTCACAGATTTCGACGATGAAGACCTGAACGAAAATGTACAACACCACGGCCACGGTGGTGGCCATGGACGTGGCAGAGGGCACAGTGCTAGTACTAGCAGCCAGGCGGGGACAAGTGGTAGCGGTGACGGGAGCAACGGGGCCAGCAGTGGAAATGGAGGAGGTGGTGCTGCTGTTGCTGCTGGCGGAGCTGCGAATGGGAAGAAGAGCGATGGTGCTAGGCCGAGGGCTGAGATGCTGGGCATTGTGGGCGTGGGGGTGGTGATGATGGGATTGGGGGTTTTGATGGTCTGATGCATCCAGGTTCCAGACAAGTTTGTTGACGTGCAGTTGCCGGCCGGCCTCGGGGCCATCATCTATCGGGACAGAATCCTTTATTGCGGTTACCTTCTCGCACCAAAATCACTCCACTCCAATTCTCTGACCAGGGACTCTGGCGACGCATCTCAACGAGGACATGCGTGAGCCTCATGACGCACCGATGTGGCCCCCATCATCGAAGCTACGACATCCAAGCTTTGTTTCCGCAATATAAAACCGACGGTTACACCACTCCGCCGCTCCATTCCAATAACTTCATCAGCACCAAGTCATCACAACCACCAAAACCAGACATAATGAGTCCGACAACTGTCCTCACCGTCGCCCTCGTGGGCTCATCCACAGCTTCAACATCAGCATCAGCATTAGCATTCGCCATCACGTGCGGCTTAGCACAACCATCTTCACACGCCACCACACTCCCCATGCCATTGCTGAGAGCCCGAAATCCGCCAGTGCTATCCCCGGTCTCAGATCAAGACTCCGACACAGGTAGCGGCGAGTTGACCGGTGGACGGCGAAGATGAAAATGAGAATACTCAACGCCATGCCCACGGCCATGGAGGTCACAGCCACGGAGGTCACGGCAGCAATGGAGGTACTGGAGAAGGTAATGGGCACAGCAGCACTAATGGAGGGGGTGCAGCAGCCGTGGCTGGAGGGGCAGGGGCAAAGGGTGCGGGAGGAGGATGCCTTCGCAAAGCACTACCGGCGGTTATGGCGTCGTCATTCGAAATCCTTGGGCCTAGACCGGCATGAACAACCAATCCACCACACCCTACTGGTTCGGCTGCTGCTGCTCCTCCTCCTGCTGTGATGCCCTTGAGGTTGGAGCCCAAGTCGGGCTTTGAGTCTGGTGTCAAGATCTGGTCCTACAATACACCAAGAACTACTCGTCCAGCCGTCGGCCCAAGCGGAAGCCGGTGCCTTGGCGCAGTCTGGTCTGTTTTTGCGGCCCTTCAGCTCCATTCATGGAGCATCACCAACCGGGATCAGAAGCAGGCGCAATGATTCAGATCTTCGTCACAGACTCCCATGAGCGCTGGCACCGCGTGCATCAACCGCGGACTGAACCATCGGCCGTGGCATCGTTCGGTCAGAGTCAGACACACATCTCGCCGATCATGCGGGCAATTGTTTGGATGGCGTACCTCTACCTCTACCGCATCAGGGAGCTGGGTGCCCGGTGAAGTGAAAGTCCGTTGGAATCCTCGGAGGTGCCGGCGCTATTGGGCCTAGTGTAGGCTGGCGGATGATGATGCGGGTACCTCTAGGCACTTCTAGATTTGCGAAAGGGAGGCACTGGAGTTTTTAACCAGCGAATGGAACATGTCAGGCTATGCATGAGAGGGATAGAATCCTTCCGGCTCTGTTGAACGAGGAGATTGGGGGGTGTGGCGAGGGAGCAGGAGATGTCTGATCTGGAACTTGTACCTGATTGGATTGGCTCCTAGAGGTAGGTGATGGATGCCGGGTGGTTGTTTGTCTTCTTAGTGTACATGTAAGATATCTGTGGTGATCTTCACGGGCATGGAAGGCAAGGAGTTGGTAGAGATTTAGCTTGTCATTGAGCGTGGAACATGAGAGTGCCTAAGGATGGTTAATAACGCAGCATCGGGGATTGAGTCATTGACTTTGAGGACGATATATGTCTTGATGTATAGAGGTAGTGTAAAAGTTAAATACTTTATTATCCTTGGCAGACTGCATCATGTCTGCATCATTGTTCAGTGTCAGTGAAGGAGGACATAGGCTGTCTGTCGCATAACAGGAATGGTCTGATGCTGATGACCTGGGTCGTGAAATGAAAAGGAAGATGGCACGGTTTGGGGGATCCGTAATGACGGACTAGACGCATTCACGCCAGCGTAACACTCTGTGCTTCCCATGTCCCTGAGGATGTGGCAGGGATATAAACAAAGCACCCAGCCCTTCCTCCAGAGCGTATAAAATTCACTTGCCAGTTCCCGACCATTCCACCCTCCAGGCAGATATTATCATGGATCCACGCAAACTCGTGGCAAAAGCCAAGCAGGAAGCCACTACACTACATCCTCTTTCAACATCCCTATCACAAGCCAAACCACCCACAATATACTTAACTAACACCAGTAAAATGCGCCGCCCTTCATCCCTCGTTTTCTCCCTCTCCTCCGTGCTGCTTGTCCTCGGATCCAGCACAGCCGTAACCTCATCCTCGCCCCCTCCACTCCCAACCCTACACCCAATATTATTGCCGCCCGCCATGATGCGATCCATGTCAAGGGCACCACCACCGTTGATCCCCTCGACATCAACCCCCCTTCGCCACACCCTACAATGTGACCTCCAATAACATAACCGTACTTCACCGTCCTAATTGGCGTAACTTCACCCACACCAGCGAGGGCAGCGCAACCAACACTCCCCCCGGTACTACTTTTCTCGCTGTGCTTCACCAGCGCAGCCCCCCTGGGCCTGCCGGAAATTTCCCATTCATGGCAGCTCAACTCTATCGTGCCACCGGTGCCCTCCTCCGCCCATCTCATACCTCGTTACTCCCGACCCCAATTCCTGTGATGGGCTCTGGCTATGCAACTCTACTGGCTTCTCCTTGATTTCTGATGAGCCATACAGCTCGTTGCCATGCTGCGCAGCAGCCCCCGTCCCTTGTTCTCCTTCTCCTCCTTCTCCTGCCCCTGATGTACCTTCTCCGGACCCTGACTCTCCGGCAGCTGCGGCGGCGGCGTCCCGAGCGGCCAGTCCTTGCTTCCTTCCCCGAAGGAAAAAGAAGAGACAGAGGCCGGCAACGCCGAGCACGGCGACTGCGGACCCGACGCTAATTCCGGCTATGGCGCCGCTGCTTAGACTTCCTCCTTTGCCGCTTTCTGGCTTGGAGTTTGCCGGTTCGCCACTGGTTTCTGGTCCCAAGCCCGTCGAGGAGGGAGCGGGAGGACTGGATGCCGCCGCGGACGGAGTTGCGGCTGTACTCGCGGCAGGATCATTGGTGGTGGTGGTGGTAGATAGGAGGGGTAGAGATAATTCTAGCGACGAAGACAATGCAACAGATGATGTGATTTGAGACAATGTCGTTGATGTACCGGCAGAGACAGTGACTGGTACGGGGTCGGCGCCGGACGACTCGCTACTAGTCATCCATGGGTCGGGTAGAAAAGTTTTGGGAGTCTCGCGTCGCGCTACAGAAACCCACGCGTAACCTGCGCCATTCATATTAACTCGAAATCGGCAGAAGTAAGTCCCTCTGATCCTGTTTATACCGTGAATCACGATCGGGTACGATCCATTGGGACCGGGAACGCCCGTTACTTCGTCAACTAAAATAAGATTACAGCAAGTCGGTTAGAGTAATTTGAAGACTTGGAGCAAATGGAAGGTACCTCTAAGCACTACAGCTGCGGATGGCGGGTTGCAATACCTCAAAGCTAATTTACTTAGAGGTAGGCAACGTGACAGGGAAGGAATGAAGGAATGGAAGGAGCTTACCCGTCTCGTCGTTTTCCCTGCTATTAGTGTCCCCACAGATAACTGAAATATCGTTCGTCGGTTTCTCATTCTTGAAGACTACCCAGATCTCATCTTCGAGGTAGACAGTCCGCCAACCGCCACTGGGGTATTCCTGCGGGAATATGACCACTCCGACTACGGGACTGATCAATAGGACCAGCGAAATGAGAAGTGGTATGAAAGGGAGCCGTGGCTTCATTATCGGAATTCTGTGTAGGCCCCTTTGTACTCTTGCTGGGAAGTCGATTGTCGCAGTGACGAAAGAAGAGGATGAACGAGGAAAGGAGGTGGTTTAAGATCCAACAAAAGCCAGCACCGACGAAGCGACACTCAACATGTAGAAGAGCACCAGAAAGCGTGGCGGTAGAAAACAGAGCGATGCGGTCCCGGCCGCCAGAGCAGGGTCACTCGCCTTATAATAAATGTCCCTTCATACCCTTCTGCCCTTCTTTCCGTGCGAAATTTCTGTAAAAATTCCCGTCACTTGGGCTGACTCGTGGCTGGATCGGTCGCGTACCCGCGTGGCAACCGCATATGTAATGGGGAGTTACATCGCTCCATAATGGCCCGCCATTCCCAACAAGTGAGGACCATACGAATTCCTAATGACCACCAACTGCATGAGAATGCAATGCGAAAATCTTCGCTAGACCCTTATGGCCGACTGATCGGCGGCCTGGTGCGTGTCAATGTGTCTGGACTTCATGGTGACGAGCAGTACATATTCCGAAGGAAAAAAATGCCACAAGCCTTGCAACTTTGACGGAATCCAGGACTGAGAGTTCAAGGCAGCATAGACTGGTGGTGTAGCCAGCCGTAAAAGTGCAAGGCAGCGTAGCTCGACGATGTAGCCAGCCGATAAGCTCCAGAGTAGGAGCAAGGTGACACAACAGAGTACCTGGAAAGCTTGGAAGGCCATGCAGGATTCATCACGGACTAAAACTTGCTGGCCGAATTGGATGGTGGACTAGTGGTGCATCTGGCACAGTATGTCGAACGTCGGTTGGACTCTTCTCGGTGCGAAGAGAATATCAGGCCCTCCTTCCGCCGCCAATCATTCGTTTTTACCGTTCCGTCGTACTCATCGGCCCACCGCGTGGCACTGCGCAACGACCAAAGGAAGGAAATGGTGATAACATTATATCATTCCCGGCCACACTTCACTCCAACAGGCAATGTGACTTCACGGGTTCACATATCAGCCTGCTTGCCCAACTCCCCGGGAGGCCCCTACCAGCCCATCTTGGTTAGAGATGTCTGTCTTGCAATCATGCCACTAGCCGAGGGCGTGTTGGAAAGCTGAGAGAGTTCGCACAGTAGCAGTTGGATGAGATTCCCGGAGCCGCCGATTGCACCACGGAATGTTTCTTCCACGTACCTCACGGGGCCTCAACAGTAATATCCTGCTTCGCCTGCCTCTCCATAGCCCGTTGATCAGGAGTCGGTATCTCCGCAATAACCCGTGAACCATTCTGATACCGCATCGCCGCATTCGCTGAACTCTCCGAGTGCAGCTCCAAAACCGCCGGCGGTGGTGATAGGCCGTGCCCTTGCCAGCCGGACATAGTCGATGGGGTTCCAGGTCCCGAAAGCACCGAGTGATAGGGGTATGGGCCGTATTGCGATGGAGTCGAAGGCGGATAGTACGACGAGTATAGAGTCGACGGTGATAGCGGATGTGGTGTATAAAGCTCAGGCAATGGGTTGCCCATCTGACCTTGTTCCTCCATATGGTCCCCTTCGTATCTTGTCTGGACCATCGTGGTCGGACTTCCGCTGGGTGTCATATCGTCGCTCTTTACGTTCAAGCTGTCTTTTTCGAGCCTTGCATGTTCCTTCTGATTCTTCCGCCGCCACCACAAAGCAAATAAACCGCCGCATAACAGCAAGACGGCCATGGCTCCGACGATGGTTCCAGCCATCCAGGCTTTGGATTGTGAGGGAGTAGAAGGCTGTGGGTCTGCGGTAGCGGTAGCGGTAGCTGTCGTGGCCGCGGAGGATGTGATTGACGGCTCCGTGATGGAGGCCGAGGACGCTGGAGTGGGCGGTTGTGGAGTGCTGGAAGTCGTGCTGGAAGTCGTGCTGGAGGTTGAGCTGGCTGAGCTAGTTGACGTAGCTATCTCGCGGTATAACGAGTGAACGGCGTAACCTGTGACTCCGCAACCTATTTCTCTCCATTTGGTAGTTGCTTCGGGGAATTTGTCGAAAATGGTAACGGTGACGCAGTTCGGATAGTCAGAAGGACTGCGACCAAGGACCGCAGTGTCAGCATGCCGGTTGATCGGTTCGAGAAGGGCCACAGTTCGCCAAAAGATTCTACATACCATACTGAAGTGCCACCACCATACCTCAGAGACAGCGTGTTGCCAACACATTCCGTGAAGAAGTTGCAGTCGGGGTTTCCTATCGGGCAACAATACGCGAAAGATCTCCAGGTGTCGAAGGTTGCGCTTGGCCCGCAACCAAACGAAGAGGCTGAATTACACAAAGTCAATACGAGAATAACCTGTCATTTTCCATGAAAGATCTTACTATCACGGTTTTCGGCAAAGTAGATGCCCTGGAACGCAGGGTCAAAGGTAGTTGTCTGGCCGGCTGCTGAGCTGATCATTATCAAGTATCCCACCAGTGCCTTCTGAACACGACGGTGCGGGGCCAACCCAGTGACTCTTTGGACCATCGTGATGTTTTCACTGACAGTTATCAACAGAGGAAATGTTGGAAGGTTGGATTTTGAAGCTGATAGAGGATGTCAAGTCGAACGGTAGCTTGGAATGGACCGAAAAAGGGACGAAGTCGGTGGAAGACAGCAGTTCAAAGAGGGGTGAGAAAAACGCAGCGCGCAGTCGGGGAAAGTTGGAGGGTCAACCAGAACCTGAATACACGACCATGCTCTTTCTCTCATTCAAACAATGGTGTGCTTGTAGACAGAAGGTAAGACGAAACCGACAAGTTATCGGGGCCTGTCTCAGCTGTGGTCTTTTGGTCTGTTTGGGCTGGTAGCCCACTTTCAGGTCGCGACACGTTGAAGCAATTGTACCTCGTGCTGTGGTTCCATTGCGGCATGTCGTTGCCTTCTGGTATAAAGGCCCACGGCCCGTAGTGTTTGCTTGACTGAAGCAAGGGAAGAAACCTAATAAGAACAGACATGTTTTCACAAGTCGCCTGCTTCATGCTTGGGCAAACACCTGTTCTTGAATTTGTGGTTTGGCTTTTCTCGTGCTGGCTCTCCCGCCATTAGGTTGAGTATTGTTGGTGTATGCAAAGCAGCGGTTGTTGAACCACATGGTGGACTCGCCGCGGGCGCCACCCGGGGCCTGGTTTGTGATCGAGTCCCTCAGGCGTGACAGCTCGTAGCCACAGTCATGCTCGCGACACATCTCTGCGTATGCGCGCCTTGAGTACTCCAACCATTGGTCCGAAGGAAGTCGCTGTCATCGTTGATGAGTTGGAGGCAGCAATACGGTATTGAGAAGGCGAGAAACCTCGGTGGCAGGGTGGCAGGGCGTCAACATGCTAGGAGTCGTGGTCAAGCGTATGCAGGAAATAGAGTAGAAGAAAGGTAATGAAATCGGCAATAGAGGTCATTGGTCGATTTAAGAACTATGGAATGCAAAATGGACAACACAGGAGGCGATGTTGTTTGCCAGATTCAGGTGTTTCGGAGAAAGTTTATGAGGACAAACAGGCGATGCCAAAATTGCCTGGACATGTCCAAATGGAGCCAGGATGTGCGATAAGGGCTTTGGAAAGGCTTATCCGGCCAATCACAGTTGCTATGAGCTTATCAGTAGCTGCTCCTCTTCTTATCACTTACATGGCCGCTCTTGCCCCGCATCAGACACTCCAAACATCAAATGTCAATGACAACGTTCCTTCCCTTCCTTGTGCTTTTCCCAGTCAAATCACTTCAACCAGCATTACAGCTTTTGGCAGGTGCAAAGAGGCGAACAGCAGTTTTGGGAGTCACAGTGGTGGCTTCCTGATCATCGATGACGCAATCGCTACCGGCTCCTACAGGTAAAATGCACCATATCCCTTCTCTTCAGTTCCTTCCATGCCTCGAAGTCTTTCCTTCCAAATCTCCCATGCAACACAGCAAGAATTGCCGTTTCCTCCTTTTCTTTACCTACCAATTCTTCTGCTGCCCCTCATCTCATGCTCCTCCCCGTGATTCCCCCTTGCCCTCATCCTCCTGCCCCTGCTTATTCCGCAACAACACAACTCGTACAGGCCCCAAAGCAGCAAGCAAGCTATCGTGCCGACACCACATATGAGGCCTATCTTCTCTCCGAAACTGAGTCCACCTCCGTCACCTCCGTCACCATCATCGCCCGCGCCATCAACATCAACCGGTGGTGGATCATGGACTTTGGGCTGGTGCGGGTCCAGCGCTAGAGATAAGTCAAATATTCATGACAAATACAAGTAAATATAAACCAGTAAGTAAATAAGTTGGCATCTCAATTTGACTTGGCAACTTGCCCGCCTTCTTGGCATCCCGGCAAAATCCTAGAGTTAGGGTTTAAGGTATAAAAACACTTCATTTTCACCCCTGAAAGATAGCCCCACTAAAATCCTTAGGTCAAAATTGGCCGATAAGGAGCGATAAATATCGTCGAGTCAAATCAAGTCAAGTCAAGTCAAGTTATGGTTAACCTCAAATATGGTCAAGCCAAGTCAGATCGCACCCCCAACTTGGCTTGATTTGACTTATCTCTAGCGCTGTGCGGGTCTTGTTGTTGAGGGTAGGCGGTCGACAGTCCAAGAGGAAGGCAAAGGACCATAAGGTGGTGAAGCAAACTAAGGAGAAGCGTCATTTTGGCTGTTCGTAAGTGCGTTATACTACTCTCCTCGCCTTCACTTCACTGAGCTGATGCTACTGCTACATTCGAGGAGGAAGCCATTGTATTTGTACCTAGGTATGGACTTCTTGGCGTCGTCTGCCGACTCTACTCTATCAGTGAGTCAGTACCATAGAGTTGATATCCAGTGATATAGACGAACTGTGAAGACCAGAACCGCTTGCTTCCTCCCTCTACCTTCTTCACTGACAGGGCTTGATTCTCGGGCGAGGAGTTGATAATTTGGAAGAGAAATCACAGCATGCCCTACCTCCATTGCGCCTTCCAGACATCGATCTCTCCACTCCGCTGCCAATTTCCCACCTCCATTCATCCTTCGCTCTTTCCTTCCGCCACTTACTATCCTTAGATCGAGGCCCTCCTGTCAGTATTCGCCATATCCGTCATCTCAATCTCCTCCGGGCCCTCCTGGCGCTGATGCTCCGCCCTCTCCCTGCGATAACGACGAACCTCGCACATGACCACTTCACCAACCACCCAGCAAAGCCCAGTCACCATACTCGCGACCACAATAAAGACTGCAATAGCCTCCGCACTCGGCTTTTTGTTTCCGCTGGCGACTGCTAGGCCATCGGAAGTATCGTCGCCGCCACCGCCAGTATTGTCGCCGCCGCCGCCAGTATCGTTGGCGCTGCTTGTGGGAGACGGGGTGCTGGCAAGTTGAGTCTCGCTAGACGCTGTCGAGAACTCCAGGAGCGCGTAAAGCGTGGCGCAAAGGAGGAAGTGAAGGACGGGAGGGCTCATTGTGAAAATGACTTGAGGCGCAATGGTTTGAGTTTGTTGTGTGGTTATGAGCAGCGCGACGGGCTGTCAGATGACTGGCTTTCAGTTAATCACTTGATCTGCTTCTGAACGATGGCTGAGCTGTTTATTTGGGTTGCAAGTTAGCTCTTGGTCTTGCTCTCGCTCAAGTCTTTCTTAAGTACCAGACGGGAGTGGAGGCAGAGGGTCTGTGCCACGTGGCAACTGTTTTCTGAGGCTTTGGGATCTTGAATTCCGACTAACCTTAGAGTGAGGTTCAAACGAAGGTTTTTGATCACAATTTGTGGGGGACGATCAACGTGTCTTCGGGTCTTGGAGCTTGTCGCTGTCGGCGACACTTGCAACGGGAGTTCTTTCGGATTCCATCGCGATCTGGATTGCGCTAAGAGGAGATGGCCTTTTGCGGTAACGACTTGAGTTGTTTTGGTAGACCTTTTGACGGAAGACATGCTCCTCTTGATCCTGGACCATAGAAATAGAAGAAGGCGAGAGAAAAGTTGTTGTGGTTGGGAAGAAGAAGAAGCTACAAACGAGAGAGGAAAAGCCAGCTAGGGCTGGTATCAGTTTGCTGGAGAGTTACAGAGGGGGCCTAGCACGGCAGGCAGACGTTCGGCTCGCCCGCTGGTCGCAAGATTATCTTATCCCTATTCCACGTGTTCAACCACTTGTTTCGCTATTGTGTATATTGGCGAAATGATGATGAGATGGGATGGAAGAAGGTAGACGTGATGAGCATCACGGACGTGTCTAGCCTCAGACGGTTTCCGCATGTTCGATTGGAGATGAGGATGTGACCTTTGACCTAAGGTTCAAGGGCGTGTTTGTTCTTGCAGTTGCCCAGTGACGGAATCCTTCTCTTGGTGGAAGAAACGCCTTGGGTGAGAGATAGAAGAGGTTCCCTTACTGAACTACTGTCGGAACCAATACCGCCAAAAGTTACGCAGTCAATAAGCATGGTCTTGAAGAGTTATTGTCGACAGTGGTAACTGGTAACGTCTGCTGTTGAGACCTCTCGGCCTTAGTTCCACGCGTGCATTATCGGTCATTATCCCGGATTTGCCTCTGTTTTCCCCTACCCCTTTTGTTGTAAAGATCATTTAGCATCACACGATTTCACTTGCTACATCATTTTAGCACCGTATGAATGGGATTGTATGTTGTACTATCTTCGGGCTCTAGGTGACCTGTCCAGGTACCAGTACCGGCTCAGTAGCCGAATCTTCCATGTCACTACAAACTAACTTATCCTGTACAGTAACCAGAGAACAAATGCTACTTCCCGCGATACCACGTTCCCCTATTCACGACTTCACCCATGCACAGTCGTTCTTCTCGCTCGGTACTCGCTGCTTCCATACCACTTCTTCTTCTCCTGCTTTCCTCTTTTCATTCTTCCCATCTCTTTCTGGTGTCCCTTCTTGTGGACCTTGTACCCTACGACTATACAGACAAGAACAACCACCGCTCCTGCAACCGCACCCACTTTGGGCCAGAGATCATCCGTTGACTTCTTCTTCTTAACCTTTTCGTCGCCCTTTGGTGCCGTCGATGGTACCAGAGCCCTCTTGGAGGAGTTCTTCCCGTCGTTCATACTATTCTCATCTGTTCCTTCCTCGCTGGCCGGCAGCTCGCCGGTGGTGATGGAGTTGGTGTTATCGGAGGAGGAGCGTGAGGCTAGTTTGGCGGCGACTTGCAGGTCGTCATGGATGGTCCGCGTATTGCTATGGCCGGGGATAGGACCGGGGAAGTAGATTGTCGTGCGGTCTTGCAGAGTCCCATTCGCTCCTCGTGGTATGAGGATGGCGGCCGAGGTGCTAGCGAGAAGGCCAAGCGTGAAGCGAAGGAAAAAGTGCGTTCGCATTGTGGGGGGCTGCGTAGGACTGTAGGAGACCAGCTCTTCTGAAGGTTGCTGAAGGAAATCACCAGGAAGTCCTCGATTGAACCTTGAGTGGTTGAATCGGATGGTCTACATTTGGGACCATCGGGTTCTCGAGGGTGAATGCTGCCACCGAGATCTTATGGATGTGCCCGTTGAGTGTGCCGTGTATGGGCCGCCTCATGAACAAGCACCGGGTCTTATTGGTCTGCTGTCTTTTCAGTCAGCGATGCTCAGCAACTTAGAGTACGTTTGAGGGCTGCAAAGAGAAGAATTTCCTGCCATCAGACGGCATGGTCAACCATTTTGCCTTTCAGGATGTCAATATGGCAAGTCCATGGATACAAAGCTTGGTCGGTTCCAAGTTTGTATCCCTTTGAACGCGTGGCCGGCGTCGGTCGTGGTGATTATTTGAGGATGGCGGAATGTTTCAGCATGCCGGAACAATGTCCAAGGCGGCCGGTCATTGTTGGCAATTGGTGAAGGATAATGTGTGGCGTGGAAAAAGCGGCTACAGGTAAAAAAAGATACGGCAAGAATGAGGGCATTGTCGTGAGCCGGACTCCATTATTTTTCCGGGACCGAACCTCATGTCACTTGCCTGTTTAGAGACACACGCAGCTGTCGGCGCTATGGGCAGGCGTGCCTCAGCCATGGAAAATGAGCATGGTAAGAATCAGCGGGGTTATTCTCTATGGTGTACTTAACAATTCAGGACCGGAAACGGTGGTGGAAATGTTATTGCACTACTAATACGCTACAAACAGAAGGCCTCCCTTGCGTTCAACAATGCTGTTGATCGGGTGGCCCGCCCCGCGCACAGACCAGCCAGCTGCAAGTCTTTGTCATCCAATGCTACCACTACCAATAACATCTCTTCCTATGCCGTTCTTCTTTCTCTTTCTCTTTCCCTTCTGACCACCTTGACCAACCTGCCTCCACCCTTCGTATTGTCACCCACACAACGGGTTTGCGCTCTCCTTTGCCAGCAACCCGCCTGCGTCTAGCAAACCAAGAACCGCGCAGCACACGCTGAGCGCGATCCAGATGCCTGCGTTAGTACGACCAGTCGGAGGCCGACCGACTATGAGGAATCGCGGACTTTTCCTGAGTCAGAAGAAATTTCCAAGAGTGGGGGAAGACTTGCGGCCTGATTTCCGACCGTTACCGCTGTATATGCTTCCGTACCTGCTTCCAGCCACAGCCACGGGTTTACCTTTTTTGGCGTGCTTGGGTACGGATCCGACATTGACGACCATGGGCATGGGCGCAATCGCTGCCAGTCTGGCTCCAATGGGGTGTCGTGGTGGAGGTCTGAGGGGTCCTTTGGGCTTGGGGAAAAGGGTGTAAAGATTTGGCTCAGGCCTCTGGCCAGTTGTGCCCTGGCGGTGTGCCGTTCCTGCGCGCCCCGCCTTGTAATGGTACTTGCGGTTTTCATATTCCTGCGCCATTGCGTCCCCGAAGACCTCGTTGACCTTAGCTCCTTTCCCGAGTCGGCGCGCCTTTCTTGCTGCTTCTTGGTTTCTTCGCATTATAGCCGCCGCAGGGGATTTCTTGCAGGGCCCATGCTTGGAGCAGCTGCAATAACGCCAACAGCAGAGATTGATATGCATGGTGTTAGGTGAAATGGTGAGAATCGTGGCTGCATGGCCAAGGGTCATCCAGAGGTGAGTGCTCCTGTCTGGTTGCTTATATTGCTCCCCTCGTGGTAAGGAACAGGACATCTGGGGGCCAAGTTCTTTGTTGCACAAAAATGGGTTTTTACACTTCTTCCGGTCACTTGGGCGCCAGTAATCGGTTCCTTGACGCCACCCTCCACGGACCTGCAAAGACATACACCGGCTCGGCGGAAGGCATTCAAAGTTTTGGAAACGTTAACGACGGTGATAGAAAACATAGGAATGAATCACGTTTCATCATCCGTTCTAGCCTTGTCCCAAGCCACAAAAGCCTGCATCGTTCTACCGATCCCGCATTTATCGCGTCCTTTTTCCAATGAACAAAGACCTCGACCCTCGACATGATCCAGTCCCGTCACGATCATAACCGATGTTCAAACCAAAGGACACCGTATCAAACCCGGCACCGAAACTAAATTGTACCCTGTCCCCATCACAGAAGAAGATCAAGCCCGTTCACATGGATGTCCACCCCCTAGCGAACGCGCCATTTTCTATGAAGAAAGTAACCACCGATTAGTATCAGTACACTGACACCACAGGCTATTCCTAGAATTTCGAAATTGCCAAGTCCATCACCATTTTCCTTCTCCATTTTCGCTCCATCTTCACTGTTTTTTTTCCAGCTTCCACGCTGTAGGACTTGTCAACCCTCTTTCCGTAGGACCGGGGATGGGAGAATCTCTCTCAAACGGAGGATTTCCACCCTCGTCGTTGGATCTCCTTGAAGGCGTCTGAGGAATATCCTCGGCAAGTGTAGGCCACGCCTCGTGTGGCCTCCGGTGTGACTCGTCGTTCGGGACTTCTTGGTCCTTCTTCCTCAGAGATGCAGAAGTTGGATTATTGGAAGGCGACATGATGCTTGGAGATGTGCTGAAGTAGGACTCGTGTTCCGAGTGGACGGGCTCCCTCAGGATGAGGGCTGACGTCGCAGGCGTCGGAATTTTTGGCAAGGCGATTCCAGCACAGAAGTGAAGAAATGCGCATGTCAAGAGAGGTACTGCGGAGAAAACGCGCATTGTGACAAGGATGGAGCTGAGTGTCTCCGTTGAAGTAGAACACTGTCTTTGTGGGTTGCTTCTTGGTTCCTTGCAAGTGCAAGTAGTGATGATATAATGGACTTGATGCGGAAATGAGACCAGAGAGTACCAGATTCATCCAGACTACTTATAACCCTCGAAGCGCTCGAATCTGAGTGTTTACAGTCGGAAAAACAAACAGCTCGCATTTGAGCGTTAACCTATCAGTCTAAAGTGAGTGCATTACCGCGCGACAAAACTCAAGCCAAGATGAGGAATTCGATTCTAGGACGGCTCAAAGAAATAGGCGCCGTGAGAGAAGTGGCATTAGTCCCTGTCTATCTACTGTATTCTGCTTCTGCTTTCTCTTCCACATTACGCGCCCTTGGTTCACCAACTGTCCAACAAAGCATGCGGAGCGCTGTGCTGTTAACCAACTGCCAACAAAAACAACCTATACTCGATACACCCTGCGCCCAATAGACCAAAACACAACCAAATTCCGTGATATTACCAGTCCCATCCGTGTAAATCGCTGAAGATTGTCATCAACCTGAGCTGGCCACCGCATCATTCTTGCCCTGCGCCGCAGCCTTCTTCTGCCCACGCCTTATGAGGAGATGACAAAGACCAGCAACAAGTAAACACAGCCCAAGGCCGCCAAACATGATAATCACTAGTACGGCTGGTACAGGAAAGCGTATCTTACGGTTCGGGTCAGCAGGCCTTCTGTAACTGCGCAGTTTGCTGTGTTTTCTGTCCCTGCCCACATCCAAAAAAGCTTCGCTTCTGATGGATACGGGAACATGAAGGCCGTCGTCAGTAGAAGTTTGCCGGGGAGCCATAACTGAGCTCGACGTTGTTGGATTCCTGGATAAGGGTAGCGCTGTCCCTACACCAGTGTGCATGGGCTTGGTGTTAAACGGTATGCATTATATCCCTCCAAGCCAAAGTATCAATCTCAACGGTAACTCCATGACCATCCATCACTCAATCCAATCTGTTCCTATTACTAACTGCTCTTTCCTCTCCAAGCCACAAATAAGCACCAACACCTCTTCTCCCACATCAACCACGCCAGATACAGTCCGGCTTTCTCTCTCTACCAATACCAGTCATAGATGTCCTGTACCATCGGGGACCCTTCCATCGTATGGATATCTCCAACGGACCAGCCCTACATCTACTGGGGCGGAGCTGCCCTACGCACTGCAAGCTCCGCCTTGATTTTGTCATTCCTTTCCTTCCAATCTTGCGCTCTGGATTCATATCCGCAGATAAGGTTTTCCCAACGGTGCTTGCCGCCTCTGCACTGAATGAAGGCTGCAACACAGAGAAGGCAGGCAAGAAAACCGGCACTCACCCCAATCAAGGCGTTGGTCTCGGCTGTCATGTGCGACCAATACCCGTTGTCCCTGTTGTAGTCCGGGTCTTTAGCTGAGTCAGGAATGCCGGGGGTATTGGCGCGCACCACAGCGGTTGAATCATGGTTTTCGGCGTTTTCGATATCAGAACTTCGCCTGTCGAGGCCGGACCATGCCGCCGGCTCTTCGTCTGGCGTGTTCGGAGATCTCTCTTCGACGGCTGAACCTTCTTGCTGTCTCCCGGTCAGGCGGGGCATAGCCTCTGATGTCTTGGCTGGGTTCGGTGAAGCTTCGACTGGGAGATGGTCTTCCCGTTTCTTCGCCCCCGATGGATTCATGGGGGCCGTAGCGATGGCCGACACCACAGCTAGATTGAACAAGACGCTCCGCTTGGACAACGGAGAATGAAGCGTTTGGCTTGGAGTCAAACTTGAGGTCCGGCTTGGGAGCTCCCGTTCCAAGTGGAGAGGCTTCGAGTTGAGCTCCTTCAGGCTCAAGGAAGGCGATGATGGAAGCGGAGCGGCGGCGCCAAAAGGCAGGCCGAGGAGGCCAGACGTCAGAAACGAGAGGAGAAGCGCGTAGTGCATTTTGACAGGACGTTGATGATTTGTCTTCAGTTGGAGTTGGCGCGGTAGGTGCGACTTCGACGATAGAAACGAGTGCGTTCTTGCCTTTCTGAAAGATGGTGGTAGCTATTGCTCTGCCAGAGAGAATGACTTTGTGGGGCATGATGTCAAACTTCCGGACTAACCCCTTGGCAGGAGCCGGCTCTTGCTTATAACCTCGTTGGAACATGACCGTTGGATGTATGGCTTGCACTGCAAGACTCAGAAACTAAGCCAGGAACACAGAAGTAGACGATCTAGCTAAGCGCGCGGCGAAAGTATAGAATGCGATATATGAAGAGGAGTACCAGTTTTGACAAAGTGGTGGAACCGCAGTAGATTGCGTCTAGCGCGGGGACTTCTTCAACCTTTTCTGCCCTCAGCACCCTCACTTGCAAGTCAATGATCCCAAAGTACCGTTGGTGCAACATTTGCTATTTCCGGCTCACCATTCAAGCTTTCATCAAACCAACAGGGGCATCTTTCAAAGCGGGTGATAACGCCAAGGTTCCCATGGAACCACCATCTTTCACCAACGAAGCTTATTGTCCACGACCAACGGCCAACGAGCCGCATTTTGGCGCTCACACGCTAAGTTCCGTTGCGGACACTCATGGATCTGGAAAAGCGCATGGCAAAGGGGAGTCGCGCTCTAGATCCTCTTGATTCATCCTTCCCTCAAACAGGCTACACCGTGGTCCATCTACCTCACATGATCCCATACCGTCTAATTCCCAATGTTTTT